ATGGAGACTGCTGTCATCATACGTGTCTATTTTCATAGTCACCGTTAGCTTGGTCTATTTGTATATTTTTATGTTAATATTTACCAAGCTCGTTGTTTGTCCGGGTGGCAAATGTGTTATGTTAGTGCCTGTCAATCTGATATGCACATCTAATTTCAAGATAATTTTTATATTATTCATCTCATTCATATTTCACTTTTAGTCTGATGACATGCACTATATTAAACATTGCTAAATTCTAAACATGTTTCAAGGTGTTACATGTTAATGGGGATCTTGTGTTTAGGTGGTGTTTATATTATCAGGCGACTGTTGATTTCGTGTGTTCAGGCCATCAAACGTGCTTAAATGGAACACACGAAAGGGGCATACCGTTTCGTAGTGAAACACATTCCTAAAAATGTTTTGTATGTGTTTAATTCTTACACTGTGGTTTAAGTAGTGAATTATATTAATTCGATGAGTAATATTTACCAATCTTCAGTATCTTCGTGCAGTCTACTAGGCAGGATAGTAAAGTCACTGTTTACTTACCTCCTGACCGCTGTTCCTATTAAGTTAGGATATAGAATTCACTAAACTTTTTTTCTCAGTGCATATGTGTAGGTCTTTTTGCCCGTCAAGGTGATCTCTCCCCACACAATTATCCACAATTACGAAGATCATGAAGAGTCATCGCAGGTGGCTTATAACGTTGTCCATGACGTCATCAAACCTATCACGACATTGAGAACTAATGGTCAATGTCCTCTGACTTTTTATCCAAGGTAGCGATGTCGCATCACTACCTTAGGGATCAATATACATACATGCAGGGAAAGCATATATGCACATATTTATATATTGTAGATAAAATGACCTTAAAAGAGAAACACAATATATTAATTTATTCAGTTTTAAGTTGGATCAATATGTATCAGAACAACTTCGATTTAGTTGTGTGTGTTGGGGGGGATGGGGGGCATATTTGCCGAAGCTGACAATTAGTGTTACGTTCTAAAACAAAACAACTTATTGTTCGGGACTGTCCCATTGGCCTTATCTGTATGAAAGATGTTTTATTTGTATGGAATATGTCGTCTGTATATGGACATATTTTATTTACAGAATATGATGTTATTAAATGACACTTTTTTATTCAAAACTACGTTTCTTATTGAATGATGCAGGTCTGAATTTATGATAAGTATATAAAGCGTTAATGTTTAGTTAAGATTAATTCTTGATGCTTGGTCTGACTGGACGAAACATCGCGAGTTTCACCCTAGTGCCTAACCCTGCGACTTGGGTCACTTGGGAATTTCCTCCCACGCTAAATAGTTTATGCTATACTGTTCAAAAATAGCACTTAATTTCTCTCAGACCGAGTACATCCGCAAATGAGGGACAAACACTAATCACTGTCCAAATACAATGCACCGCTTCGATATTACGGGACCGGGTGAGCCACTCCGGTAGATTCTTCACTGAACTTTTTCAAGACTAATAAAACAACTAATGAAACAGTTAATCAATTCTTGTAAAAAATACTGATAAAATAGCGAAACATACCATATTGTTTTTAGTATTATTAAAAAATAACCATCAACCACATAAGAAATGTCACGTTGTTTCGAAGTGTTGATCTAGAGCCGATCGATCGTTTGTGTAACCCACCGTCAAAATCATATTTTATAGTTATATTAAAATAATCGAGGCTTATATTTCATATTTTAAGAAAATAAACACCTTAAATAATTTGTATCAAAAGACTCAATTTTAATGCATTAAACGATCAACCTTTGCCGGACCGAACATATCACGACCAAGATGTTTTGCAACCACAGCAGTTGTTTCCCCTTTCAACAGTTGGAGTTTATCGAGAACATTAAAATACATTCACTTTGGCCTGTAATTATTTGTTTGTTTGTTTTTTTTAACTTGAAGACTTCAATTATTTAAACATTCTATTTCAGGCCAATCAAGAAACTCATTTTTTTTTTAAACAAAGAACATTACTACATTTAAACTTGAATGTATTTAGTTTTAGTACCTAGATCTATGTATTTATATTTTTTCTTAGCTATTTTGATTTCTTATAGGGAGCAGACAAAATGATGAAGATAAAGATGGTGGGCACTAATCAACCTTATATTAGGTCATTTTTTTCAAAAACAATATTCATTTTTTTTTTTGAATAATGATTTACATTTATGCATCTTAAAATATATTTGGTATTTTGGATAGGATGAAATCCTCTCAAAATTAATTTCATATTATCATTTTTAGGTAGAAAATCACTATCACAGTTAATTATTTTCAGAATTGACAGACAATACAAAGTGTTAAAGAAATATAGAATTATGTTTGTCTCATGTATATTCTTGAAACCAAAGGTGTTTTGTTTGTTTTTTACCATGTTTACTGAAAAACAACAACATTTCTTTAATAATGAAACTTTTATATATTATCAGTGCAGTTAAAGAACCCCAATATGCTTGGCTAGCTTAATTTTAAAGATAATTATTCAGCATTCCTTTGGATGATAAACTAGACATATGAAAAAATAAGAAATGTAATTTTTCTGAATTATTTTTCCATTACATGGTTTACAGTGGTTTATTTTTTTCACACAATCTTATTAGCTGCCTGAGAGTGGAAAGCTATGTTGCTATTTTAACCAGACCTTAAATTATTCTATTGTTGTATGTGTAAATTTTCAGAACTTGGTAAGTAAAAACTCAAATTTATGGATGATGAAGAAACGACGAACAAGAGGTCATCTTATAACATTTACCATTAACCTAATTTCTTAACATAAGCAATGTTTTAATTTTAATACTTTTACAAACAATTCACATATGATCAGGTCACTAAAATATATATTTATTATGAGTCTTGTTGATAAAAAGAAGCACATGTTAAATTTTAATTACCTATGGTCAGTAATTCTTAATTTCTAATCTGATAAAATAAAAATAAAATAAAGTTTGGATGTAACTGTAGCAATAAAATAACAACGTAATATTACAAGGGCATTTAAAAAATGTAAATATTTGTATAACTATTGAAATGATAATTTATTGTTTACATATATTCTCTTTTATTTATTATAGAAACACATGTGCTCACCATTTTCAGGAACAAAACAAATGAAAAAGAAAAAAGATTACATGAAATAATCATCATTTTACATATTAAATTATTCACTGAAAAGTTCATTTTAAAGACGAAAATTCGTTTAAAAATATTACAATTCATTGATGGTGTTGAGAAGATTTACCTAGCAGTAATCAACTGATCAGTTGCCTGAGTTGGTATTTATATAATCTATCCTGAACAATCCTCCTGACATTTCCTATGGCCCTTGTTTTTCGTTAACAATATGTTACAAAAAAGACAATATTTAATTTCCTCATATTTGGGTTTATTACATTAGTTTCTAACGGACAAATAAACGAATAACGTATTTACATACACTAAAAATGTGGGCCTATTTAGTGTTGCGCATTGAGAATGACAGTCACGGTGAAACGAATGTAAAATTAATAAACTTATGGGCCGAGTTATCCAAAGTCATCAACAAATATCAAATGACATTAATTATTTTCAAAACAATACTCCCATCAATTTTTAATAGTTAACAAAGACCATAACATGAATACTAAAAAGTGGCTTCCCTGTCACGGGAAAACTCGTGTGGGTTGCCTTCGCTAGATCCTTTTTACCTGTTTTTGGTGCAGTTGTCTTACTGAGTGGAAATTTTCAACTACGAGCTCGACTTTTTATGGCGTATTGTTATGGAGAAAAAGGATCGTGGCAGATAAATCACTCGTGTGTAGATTTTTCGGTAACAACCGAACACAGTGGTTAATCCTCTATGTCATAAAACAAAATCCAAACTGACACAATGTAATACAGCCACAATCAGTGTTGCCATACACTGCCATTAAACAAAATCCAAAATTTCTTAACACAAACAGATAAGGTCACAAGAGGTCGGCCCCCCTGCACATTCGACAACTTATAGTAAATGTGATTTTTTTATTCGAAACTACAAAGCAGCGGACAGGGTTAAACCGGGAATTTGTTTTTCCAATTTTCATTATTATATCAACAAATTTACATAGTTCCTTTTTTAAGAAGATATCGTATGGCACTTAAATAATTGTTTTAATTGTAACATATTTGGTTGTTTTGAATAACGTTTTTGAATGTACATTTCCCTTTGTTCATCGAATATTTACATAAAATAATAGTCCCCAATCATCTCCAATGTCAAACCAATCACACAATTTACATATACGTTCATTCAACGAAGTTTTAATCTATCTTCAAGTTTCTATTTACAGTCGGTGACAAGATGTCCTAAAGACGAGCAATTAAAAGGGAAAAGGGTGATGTGATGTTTATTAAATTTGTTTCCAGTTTATTGTTGATTTTAATGTGGATGATGTGGAGCATTTACTGAAATTTGAAATACCTGCATTGGTTTGGGAGACACCCCCTTTCAGCCAGTGAGATTATATAAAACTCAACCAGCGTTCAGATCAAGTCACCCACTGAGGTGAGGTGTGCAGTTGTCCGAAACGGATAGGCATATTCGGTGCCACTCGGCACTTTCCATCATCTTCAAAACACCTCGGGCAGCAATGAGGTGGTACACTGACCGACCCCTCCACGTATTATGTAATATCATGTAATGGAACCGAGTTCCAATGTGGATTCCTCCTAAAGCTGGCGGAGATCACTTTTCGGATTTGGTTCAGGTGATCCGAGTGGATTAAGGTGGGCATGTTTACGAACTGTATCAAATTTCGTCAAGGTTCTTGTACAATGTCACACATTTCAGATCACTTTTGAGGTGATTGAGTTAGGTAAGGGTGAGGTGAAATGGGGTTTAACTTCGCGTATAAGATTGTCGAACGTTTATAGCGATGTGTGTGTGTGTGCGTGCGTGTGTGGTCAGTTAAACTTTAAGATCGTATCGGCAATACATATAAAAAAGCTGTCAAATCAAATTAAGCGAAGCAAATATTTATTGAACCAAGCTAACCATACATTTAGATATAAAATCGATTCGTCTTAAGCATTGATTTTATTTGAGTTAATATATTTCGTATTGCTTATCTTCTTGTAAATGTACGATAATCATGGAAGCGTCACGTATCCGTTTCAAAGTGTTTCATCGAACTAAGCGCAATTATGGAGTCATATATATATATATCTATTCAACCTCAATCTGATATTGTTCATTGTCCCAACACAAGTTTACATGATCACAGGCCAGGTTTGAAAAGTCATTGTGTTTTCCAGTTTCTATTAGAATATGAGGATAGCGTGCACAGAAAGGACATATGTTAGCACGCGACTCTGCAACAACGTTGACACAGTGGCGGTGGAGTTGACAGTTGTTGATGTCGTTGGAGAGGTTGTTGATGTCGTTGGAGAGGATGTTGATGTCGGGGGAGGAGTGGGGCATGCAGCATCCGAATCTGAAAATATTGAATTCGTCAATTAAAACATACACAATTAAAATAAAGGCTTATTCCGCGACGTAAGAGCGAATGGGTATGGTTTTACGCCGCTTTTAGCAATATTACAGCAATATCACGGCGGGGAACACCAAAAATGGGCTTCACACACTGTACCCATGTCGGAAATCGAACCCTGGTCTTTTGCATGACGAGTGAACGCTTTAATCACAAGGCTACCCGACCGCCCCCTGCGCTGTGAGAGAAAATACTAAGTGTATACTAGCATATCACAATACGGCAGTTACTTGAATGTGTTGCTGCATGATCATTGAGATCATTGTCAACATTGAAAGTTGTCACGTTTAAGAACCATTTACAGTGTTTAGGTTTTGAGAGCAGCGTGAACGTAAATGGAATTAATAAAAATGAACTGTTCAGCGTATTCAAACAACCAAATGTACCCACCAAAGCAGTATCGACCTGCACAAGCTGCAGCCTTATTTAAGAAGTACACAAAGAAGTTCGTGCAGTTCTTAATCTGAATATATCTCATCTGTTCACAGCAGTCCTCGCCGTATCTCAAACACACCGTCCTGTTCGCAATACCATCCTTGACAGCCGGATGTGTACCTGGTAAAATGTGAATGGATACGATCAGAATAATACATTTAATTGATCACATGTAAAAAAAGGTTTTTATCAGAAAAATAATTATTAATCTGAATGTACAAGGTGGTATATGTGCTTTGTACCAGAGAGGAATCGCCACATCTATAATTTTATAATAAGGACGGGCTACAGAATACACTACAGTTTTTAATTAATTAGATTAATTAACGAAGACAGCCGCATGTGTGTTAATTCTTATAAAGTGACAACAAGTCATTCCGGCAATAAGGAATATTACTTACAGTAATGCCAAAAATTGCAATGTGCGCTTTTTAGCAATATAATAATTTTTCTAGCGATAAATGTTTTGATTGAGTTTTGATCACTTGGTTACAAACCGGGTAACTCCGGTACTCTCATCATAAATCAGTTGCAAGGTATTACATACCAACTCTATAAAAAGTTTAAGAATATAGATTGAAGGAAAAAGACAAAATCAAATATATTTTACACTGTGCCTATTTGTTCATATTTAAAAAAATAAACCTTTCTGTGTTGCTTGCTTTGTGAATGTGTTACAAGTGTCAACAACAAAATTCGTTATTGTATCGCCCTCCAGGTTTGTTATGGCGGGTAGAAATATTTTACTGTAGCCGAAAGAATATCGCCTATCCTTTACATAAAGCAGTTTACCAAAATACCCTGTGTTATTCACATCGCCCTCTACTTATTCAGGGTCGTACCATGGATGGACCTCTGTGTCAAAACCACAAGTATGGCGAAGACAGTGTACGTGCACACGTTAGTCAAATTAAGTCAAATATGCGACATAAGTTTAGACAAACTGACAGTAAGACACACAAAACTCAATTCATGGGATCATAGTGACAAGTGCAATGACATTCTCAAAGAAATCAAGGCATGGCTAAATACTTCACACTGAAAACAATTTTTTTTTTCCATTTCCACTGTTAAAACGAGCTGGGTTGTTTTCAAAATATTATGGAATAAACAAAATCTAAAAACGAACCGTTCAGCCAGATTGGGTAATTTGCACCACAGCTGTTTGCTTCGGGACAGTGCGACGTCATCTTTGGAAATTCGTCTTCTTCACCGACTTTAATTCTAAACCATGATGGCGTGAGAAACTCATCACACTTTTCATCTGTCTTCTGATAGGGGCATCTCGGACTTCTGTCACCGTTGGTGATAACGTCCCTATAGTTTGCGCAAGGCTCATCCACAGACTGGGCTGCAATGAGTTTTCATATACTCAAAACATGTGTCAACAATTACTCGTTTGTTCTTTTATGATTGCCAGAAATTGTCGTCTTGAAGAGGGAAGATACAAAGTTCTAAAGAATTATCAGTGAAACGTTTTTGACAACATAATGTCTCTTGCTACTGTTCCTTCCGATCGCGTTATGTTGAGAGCAAAGGAGTCAAATACTTTATATTCTGGTGGAGAGGGTTGGGGGAGGGTGGTCTTGGGGATATTCTGAAATATTTTTTGCCTCAGAAAGAAAATAAGGGCTCGTCATTCTGGATGTCCTGAACTGTGTTGTCAAAATGCTATAGTTTCGATTGGCTCTTCCCTTCAGAGAGAATGATTGGCTCTTCCAACTTGTGACCGAAAACATATCTATTTTTTCTTTATCTCTTTGAACCTAGCTAAAGCAAAAATATTAACGAAAACATTAAATAAAACTTACGATGTAATATTTTATTCAGTCAGCGCCGCCAGATTTACAAATTACAATACAATAGACATAGGTGGAACCAATTCTTTTGGATTCACAACACATTGTTTTCAGTACATGCAGCATGTCCTGTGACAGATGTATTTTATTAAAATGGTTAAACCTGAGAACAACTGATTTTTCAATAACCATCAAATAGCCAATTCCCTTGCACTGATTTACCCACCTTAATTGGAAATAACGGAGACCAGTGAGACCGCTTCATATTTTGGTCTATGCATAACGATTCAGCGTGACAAAAACTTCTCTTTAAGACTATGACAAGAGAAATGAGTTCAACTTTCCAACAGTCAGCTTTCCCTTTATGTCGAGCAAAATTCCTTCACCATGCCTTGGTGTCTACATTTTACAACGCTTTACAAACAAGGGTTTTGTTGCTTTTATTTACATCATTTCCGGGAACAAAAAACATCCCAGCCCCTCCCCTGAATATCAAATGATCGGTTCCCGAAAGTACATGCAGCGTGTTATCGTTGCTTTTTTTCGTGAAATAAGCGTTTTTCAAAGTGAATGTTTGGAAAGACTTACCCAGGAAACCCGTGATGAAAACCATCAGTCCACAAAACACGTTCTGTTGTCGGACCATGTTGAGAAGTTATGTCAATGTGTAACCGTTTAAATTGTCACATGCTTGGATTGGTATTGCCCGCAAGTCAGCCTGGCGTTTGTGAACAGGTGGCAACAGAAATTATTTCTCGTTCGTTTCTATTTGACTTAGCTAAGGCGAACGCCGCCTAGTTCAGGGGAAATCAATAACAAAACTACCGCAATAACGTTCAACACGCCCCTCTGTGCATTGATTACTTCAAATGTTAACACTGGTTAATACCAACAGGATATGCATTGATCCAGATATTATTAGTTCTTATCACCAGGAATTAGCAACGGTGTTATGCACGTACAACATCTGATTTACTTTTTTATGTTCATGTAAATGTTATTTCGTGCTTTGAAAAGTAACTTGTTATGTTTTGTTATTTACCTCTATCCACGGGAATAATCGTGATTTAGGATAATAGCTTATTCAATTTGGCTGCAATATAAGTATATCAAATTGAAAGGTCGACACAGAATATATATATTTTGGAGATACATTTTTACACTCTCTTATATAAAGTGGTCAGTGTGTCATACAGACCCTAAAACAAATATATCCAAAACAGCCTATGCAAGTCTATAATAGTGAGTAAGTATATAATACTGCAGTATCTGAAAATGAAGAGTCTCTTTGCTCCTTTTCATTATATATTATTAATGTAACAACTTCGGGTTTTTTGTTCTGTAGGACATGTTCATTTCAGAGACAAGCTGTCAGTCTAAATAGTGTTATACGTACAAGTTTACTTCGTAAGGAGAAATGAATGTCTCATTTATGTGAGAATGACTCGGGTTATCGTTTCAATACAGTTGATGGTTTACTTAGCAGTCCACAAGTTTACGGATTTACTTATTGATATTTATCATAGATTTATTCCAAACAAGATTATTACAATCAGAAGCAAAGATTATCCTTGGGTGAATAGTGAAAGTCAATATAATCGTAAACACAAACTTGCAAAGCAAACAAACTCAACATCATATTGCGAAGTGTTTAGAAGATTAAGAAATTGGGTAGTATATGTTATCGAGAAAGCTAAAGAAACTTATTACACGATCTAGATTCCAAGATTAATGAGAAATGCGGTAGTAAGATATGGAGGTGTTTGGTAAAAGATTCCTAAAGGGAAAAGAACAATCTGTACTATACCCACCCAATACTTTTCAAAACCAGTACATAATGATCCAGTATCGATAGCTAACGTTTTAAATGACTTTTTCGTAAATCAGTCCACGCTCGAAGGGATTAGTACACAAGACCGTATCGTATTAATGACTTCAAACTTCCATAGGTGTAAAAATAATCGACAGTTATTGCTATATACAAAAAGACAGTAGAAGTGGATATGCTAAGGGTTACCCTGCTGCCCTCACAAGTTAAAAGTTTTTGAAAATGTGTTCAAAAGTGCGAATTCAACTTCTTCAAATATGACAATGTAATACAACCGGGTTTTACCCTGCCAGATTCGACAGGGTATCAGTTGATTGGTAAATGTAATATATTTCGAGCGCGTAAGATAGCCAGAGAAGTTAGAGCTGTGTTCTGTGACATAAGGAAGGCCTTCGATAAAGTAAGGCACAAGGGACCTTTGAACACGTTGCGCTTGGAGTTAGCGGTAATCTACTGAGCTGGTTTGATCGTTATCTTCATAATAGAATTCAAACAGTAGTTATAAACGGACATAATTCGAAATTTATCCAGTAAAGGCCGGCGTTGGGACGTCATTATTTCTTGTATGCATAAATGACTTGGTGGATATCAAAAACTGCAATTTGCGACTTTTTGCAGACGATCAATGATTATAATGCAATAAATATTGATCCAATAACTACAGCAACACGTCTAAATGATGATCTAGAAACAATTCCAATGTCGTCAGATCAGTTGCAGGTAACGTTTAATTCTTAAAAATAGAAACAAAACAGTTCAGTGAAAAAAGTAATATATGTCAGAAATTGTTAATGCCAAGTATAAAAAGACATAGACATTTGAGTTTAATGTTGGCAAGTTACTCTCATACTGTCAGACATTCTGTTGAATTGAAATATATTAAAGTAAGGACGTCATCTTATCTTTCCTACCTTGTACTCGACGTAGAACTTTGGAACTCTTTCCCAAAAATACTGAAGCAATCCTTTTGTAGTTTTACAGACAAGATTCCCACGAAATTAGGACATAACTCTGCATTCGGTGAGTGAGTGAGTGAATATGGTTTTACGCCGCTTTTAGCAATATTCCAGCAATATCACGGCGTCGGGAATCGAACGCTTTAACCACTAGGCTACCCGACCGCCCCTCTCTGCATTCGATATCAGGTTTGGAAATAGATTCTGCCAAGTATTATATTCTGGACTCAGATTAGGTTGAAGCACTTTAAATTCACATAAAACTGACAGATTTGTTTGACAATAAAACCGATCCCCCAAACGCATCACAGCGACGGCCATGGTAGTGAGTGAGTGAGTGAGTGAGTGAGGTTTTACGCCGCTTTTAGCAATATTCCAGCCATATCACGGCGGGGGACACCAGTAGTGGGCTTCACACATTGTACCCATGTCGGGAATCGAACCCGTGTCTTCGGCGTGACGAGTGAACGCTTTGACCACCAGGCTACCCGACCGCCCTGGAAGATCCAGAGACCACGTAATATTAAACACCACTTATATGTTTGCTGGGAGATAGTATGTATTAGATTTTTGTAATATCTGAAAAAAAACCGACAAGAACATGATAACAGAATTCTAAGCATGCTGAACTTAATCAGATATAAATCTCAACTAAGTTCAAATCACATTACACAGACATAATTCAATACTTAACATGACATGAAGAAATGTGATCATCTACATGTATCATATGCTAAATATACTCTCAAAAAGAGTAGGGGATCAAGAAATATACGTGTTATGATCGGTCATCAGAAGAAAGATTAGCTTTTCAAATAGTCAATTTTCCCTTTACAGTCCGGGTTGGGGTCGGCAGTCAGGTGACTGAGGGCGGCTATATTCAGCAGTATGTGCATCATACGTTTATTACCAACACGAATTGGAAGAACCAAAACCGTGCACTTGTAAACTCAAGTTCAAGAAAAAAAGGTATTTTTACCGAGAGTTTTTGTTTGATCAAAATGTGAGTTGGGTCATTCGGGTTGTTTAGAGAAACCTCGTTAGTCCGTAAAATGCGCCATGCGGACGAATACAAAAGGCGAAATTTCAGCAAACATTATTCGTTATTCCGGAAACATTTTATAGCTATTATCGAAAAAATGTATTGTTCCCGAAAATTACTTCGAAAAATAACCATGCTTCAGACTGTTGAAAAAAGAGAAATTGCCTGCAACAAACATGACATTGTTGCAAGGTGTTATTCTGGCTCATTGCTTTTTTAATAGCTGTTCACACGCCAGAATATCAAATGGTCGGTCACTAACTCCAAGAACTATGCCCTTCCTGGATGAGATAACACAGGTGTGTTGATTGGTAAAAGGCAACTGCAATCGTAAAAGGACTTCAATACTTGTGTTCTTATCGTCCTAATAATACCGTCGCATCGATAAGGGCCTCGTGTTTTGTATTGTAGCTATGGGTTACACTAAGTCTTGTTGAAGTATATGACATCAGATTGAAAAGCAAGATGTATGGACAACATGCATTTGAGACACAGCCTTACCGCCCAATCCCATTACAGCCTGGGTTACTAGGGTATGTTATCACATCCGGATAGTGTAACCAATCTATTGTCATTCGTAAAAATATCAAGTCTCCTGGGTAGGTAGATATCGTTTCAGGCATATTTCCAATAGATAAGCATCGATACACATGTTTCAGAGTCTGTCCAATCACAGCGATTGTGGGCGTAACTGCAGATGAGATAAGACCCAAGCTTTCTGTATATATAGGTAAGCATCTGTCTGTCAAGGTATACCTTTCTGACATGGCGCCAGATATCAGTGCAGGTTTCTGTTGGCTTCTCTTCCTCTTCATCGGGCTGTCAAATGGTAAGTACCTGCAAAGTGTTGTATTGTCCGTATAAATATTCATGTTCTTATTTTTGTAGGGAGATGGTTAGCTCATTCTTGTTTTCCCGCTGCATACTTGCACTGGCAGCTTTCCTCCTCCAACATGTACATGTTTTGAACATTTATTTTGAACTACTACTATGGTGTTTTTAATCTTGAACTTTAGTAATAATTGTTACATATGTCACTACATGTGACCACTTTCCGGAATGTTCTAAAATTGCAAACCTGTGTACTTGTGTTGTAACGCGTTGCGAGGGAGCACCGTTTTCAAAGCGTTGTTGACGTCATGGTAGAATGGAGATAAACCTACTGTGTTTTGAAATTTGATATAGTCCCACTGTAGATACCCCTTTATTATAATTTTTCGCTTTAGCGCGAGGTTCCAAATTATAATAAAGAGGTATCCCATCTACAGTGGGACTACATCAAATTTCAAAACACAGTAGGTTTATCTCCTAAATATATTGATATTCCTTCTTAAGCACTGTCCGTTACAGGCATTCCAATCATTATATTATACTATATATAGTTTAAACGTTGAGAAATATTGCATTTCAAATACTAGTAATCGCAAATTATGTATCTTTCTACATTTTGAATTCACCTTGATGCTCTGCAATAAAAGAGTAACATCAGATTGTGATATAAACGGATATGATCCACATTGTGATAAAGTGATTATTAATTTCTTATTATGATAATTATTAATAAACTAAAATAAGAAAAGATAGTCCAAATAAATCATTTGAATCTGTTCGCGTGAGTAGGTAACCAGAGATCAAGACAACACACTAACGTAACCATTTGTGAAAAATCATGTGCATTGTATGACAGACAGTAAATCAACACATGTGATTAAATTATTAATCCAATTATTTTATAAATAAAAGTTGTTGGAAGGTGTTTGATTAAAGATAATTTTTATTGTTTCTTGTTAAACGCCGCACGTAGCAATATACCAGCTATATGACGGTGGTTTGTAAACAATCAAGCCTGGACCAGATAATCCAGTTATTGACGTCAAGAGCATCGATCTACGCAATTGGGATATGATTACATGCATCAACCAAGTCAACGAGCCTGACCCCAGATTACCAAATTACCAGATTACTCACACAATTATTCAGTTATCTTCATGCACGTTCTACAATCATCTACGATCACTACTTACTATGTCCACATATATATGTATTAAGCAAGGCCTACACTCTTCCTTAAAGATAAATGCTAGGCATTCTCTCTGTATGTATTTTTATATATATAAATAACATTTTAATGTCAACACTGATGCAGTGAACGTACCAAAGATCTGATGCTAGTCTATAAGACTAACATCTTATCTCTGAAATGAACATATTTTACAGAAAAAAAATGTTGTTAAATAATAGTTATAAAATATAATAAAAAGGAGCAAAGAGACTTTCATCATTTTGCCAAATATTGGACTGTATTTGCAATATTTGTTTCCGGGACTGTATGACAGACAAACCTGACACCGTTAAGTATAATCACTGAGTAAAGCTTATTGAAACAAATTCTTCATAATAACGTTTTCTAGTGATTGTCATTTTTTTTTCACACACTTTCATACATGCATATGTGATGGGTCAGCTCTGTTAATAGTTTAATGAAATTAGCAGGGTCATTTATTTAGAAATGATCAAATCATCAAATTAAAGATAAGTAATAAAAAATAGCTGTTGTATACATTCAAATATGTTTGTGATTAACCCAACCTTGTTTAAATATATATTTTAAAAGATGAGTGGTCACAATATCATTATTTCAAATTAGAATTATAGCAAAGCAGGAAAGCGTGTTTATAGCGGGTGCCACCGGTCGATCGGGGTGAGCTGGCCTTTTTTTGCGAGCACCGAGTGATGATTGTTTGATGGTGGACCATGACATATTCTCCCGGTGTTATCGGAATCGTGTAGTTGGCTCTACTTTTGACAAGGATTTCTTAAAGCAATGGAAAGGTTTATGTCGCTATTGTTAACTGAAAAATATGAGAGATAATGTCAGTGTATGGTCATGTAATTAAGAAACTTTTGTTTTTAAAATTATGAATCCCTGAATAGGATCGCGGCAATGTCGTATAAATCTGTTTTTTGAACACTGTGTGTGTGTGTGTGTGTGGGGGGGGGGGGGGGGGGGGGGGTTGAATATATCAGCGAATACTACATTATGGAATTGTTAGCCTACAGTGATTTTTGCAAGGCAACTGCCATAAATTTCATGACGCATTTTAGGCCAGGGTCCTGTACACGCAATAATGTTCTGAAGTATTATTGATGATTATACGGTATTTATGAAGAACAATTCAAGTGGGACCAATAGAGGAAATTAGAGCATAGACTTGCTAATTATTTTATAATATTCATGCCAGCTCAAACGCAACTTTGATTTATTTTATGGTATCCAAATAATAAGTAGGATCCGGGTTTTTTTCTTTTTTGTTCGTTTTTGTTTAACGCCGCAGCTATATATGCCAGCTATATAACGGCGGTCTGTAAATAGTCGAGTCTGAACTAGACAATCCAATCCAATCCAATCCAATTCAAATACGTGATATCTGTATATACGTGATATCAACGATATTGTCTACGTTCCACCGGTGAGTAAGCGTTAGCCTTACTATTTCGTAGTATATATATTTGCAAGAAATAGTTTTTCTGAAGACATCAGAACGATGCATCACGATTACACTAGCCTTTGATAACAGCCTTGTGTTTGCGTGTTTTAGAAATTGAAATTGCTACTCTTGATACTGTTGATTAAACTTTCATAATGTGGACAAGATAAGGTTATATGAGATGATGACTTTAGAACGGTACGTAACATGCATTCATGTATATCTGATATATATAAGACAACATAAATAGAACAATGGGTAGTACTTCCAGCGCAGTGCAAAGGAAACATTTAATAATTATTGAATTAAACAACTCTCCTTTTAAGAAAATGCAAGAACACAATCGTGCAGAATACAATGCATAACTCTAGTATGGCTATATACCAATCTTCATCGGGCTGTCAAATGGTAGGTACCTGCAAAGTGTTGTATTGTCCGTATAAATATTCATGTTCTTATTTTTGTAGGGAGATGGTTAGCTCATTCTTGTTTTCCCGCTGCATACTTGCACTGGCAACTTTCCTCCTCCAACATGTACATGTCTTGAACATTTATTTTGAACTACTACTATGGTGTTTTTAATCTTGAACTTTAGTAATAATTGTTACATATATAACTACATGTGACCACTTTCCGGAATGTTCTAAAATTGCAAACCTGTGTACTTGTGTTGTAACGCGTTGCGAGGGAGCACCGTTTTCAAAGCGTTGTTGACGTCATGGTAGAATGGAGATAAACCTACTGTGTTTTGAAATTTGATATAGTCCCACTGTAGATACCCCTTTATTATAATTTTTCGCTTTAGCGCGAGGTTCCAAATTATAATAAGAGGTATCCCATCTACAGTGGGACTACATCAAATTTCAAAACACAGTAGGTTTATCTCCTAAATATATTGATATTCCTTCTTAAGCACTGTCCGTTACAGGCATTCCAATCATTATATTATACTATATATAGTTTAAACGTTGAGAAATATTGCATTTCAAATACTAGTAATCGCAAATTATGTATCTTTCTACATTTTGAATTCACCATGATGCTCTGCAATAAAAGAGTAACATCAGATTGTGATATAAACGGATATGATCCATATTGTGATAAAGTGAACTATTAATTTCTTATTATGATAATTATTAATAAACTAAAATAAGAAAAGATAGTCCAAATAAATCATTTGAATCTGTTCGCGTGAGTAGGTAACCAGAGATCAAGACAACACACTAACGTAACCATTTGTGAAAAATCATGTGCATTGTATGACAGACAGTAAATACAATGCATAACTCTAGTATGGCTATATACCATACAGTAGGCTGTCGGGTGCCGTTTGGATCGGTTTGGGAGACAGCGTATATATCCATAGAAAAGACACTAGTTTGTCTCAAAGTCTCTGAACCATATCATTTTCCCTTTCGCTCAGACCTTTCTTTTATGCCAAAGCCCCAAATGAACCAAGTCTAGATTTTCCTCAGGTTTATCTCTAAATCTTCCATCTCACTGGTGCTCCTCTCCAATTTAAAAGGAGTTATTTGTTTCTATCAAAATTATATATTTTTAGAGACTAAGCATTAGTCTGAATAGACATCACTAGTTTGGAATTTGAAACCAAATCTGTTTACAATAACAGAACATTGTCGACTACATTATAATATTAAGCAGATCACTGCAGATCACAAGTGTCGTGTACAAAGGAGAACGTGGAATCCCGACAATTAGAAGGCGGACGAACCTTAAAATTATTAATAAACATAGTTTCCTCAATTCCAAGCAATATCGGAAAAATATACATGCATATAAAACTCTTACCGTTATCATTGTATTAGTTCATGAGAAAAGCAAGCTGATTATGTACGTGCCATAAATTTAAGCGACATTGTACGATTTCGACCTTATCATGAGAATGGGTTAATGAATCATTGTCAAATAGTGATGACATTAAATCTACGTAACAATCCATGAATTCGCGAATGCACAGAACGGAAATTTGGACAAGGAATTAACCAATCGGCATGCGCAGCACGATTGATTTCAGTTCTTCCCCTGTGCGCTACGAGCACAGCGTCAAACTCCCGCTGAGAAGTAGAATTACCGGTAGACGCTGTTGCTTGATTGACAATGTCAGTCAAGAAAAGGAGGAGCTTGATGATATCGTTCTCTCCCAGTAAATTCCGATGTCAAATAACGACGTTATTTGGTCCGGAAAAATGGTTTGAAAGCGTCCAAAAAACGGCCATATGCGGAAGATAACGACGTTTTCGTGTTTGCAATGATGTAGATCCAATAAACATTGCTAATATTGCAAAAATGTTGCAAATTGAAACACAATGTTAAAACAGAAATTGTCACGCTCAGAACTAAATTGTTAAATCAGCAATATAATCAATATATTATACTAAAACATGAGGTTTGAGGTTAGAAAAGGACGCAATACAATGTGACAACGTGACAAATCAGTGGGAAGAGCAATACGTAATCCGTAATGGTGTTGGAAACTGGCAGAAATTCGGCAAATAGATAAGACACAAATCAGATCGAAAAAGGCCTCGTCGCGCTTTTATAGATACAGCCGACCTTCCAGCAATTGTCCATTTTCAATTTTCTTGAGCCTTCCTTGATCATGTTTACGCATAGGAGGAAAACTCTGAACTACCCGCTGATTAAAATCTGTCAGTCTCTACCCGAAATAACCTTGCCTAACACCACCGTGAACCTGCAATTATAAGGCCAGCTAACTAACCCTTATGTTTCCATGCAGAATACGAGATACTTCGCCAGACGCAGGAAGAAACATAGCGTCGCCAGAAACTAACACATATACTGACGAAGATAAATGTGGCAATAAAGCAAGTGTGTTTTTCATGAATGAAAGCAAGAATTGTAACGTAGCTATGTACATGTGCTCATGTCTTCTTATGGACGACGACCGTCTCTGTGGTCTAGTGGTAGAGCGTCCGCCCAGAGAGCGGAAGGTCCGGGGTTCGATCCCCGACCGCGTCATACCAAAAGACGTTAAAAGATGGTACTTGTTGTTACCCTGTCTGGCGCTCGGCATTAAGGGGCTAAAACAAGGACTGGTCGGCTCGGAGTCAGTATACAGTGTCTGAGTGGGGTATTCATGTTAAACTGCGTCATGGTATCTCAGTGAGCTAGCACTAAAAATCGGTATCAGTCCGAACTAGTACAAGCAGCCACACACACACACGTGCATGCACGTCGCTATATAAGTGCAATAATCTTAGACGCGACGTTAAACCCCATTTCACCTCACCTCTGATGGACGACAGGTACATGTACAGAGCAATAAAACATGGACGCGCCCTCTTCCAACGGGACCGCGTGTAAATAGCAAAGAAGACCGAAGACATACAGTTACAATTTCTTTAAGGCGTCGTGTCATGTGCTTAAACGTGTTATCATTTCCATTTCAGTCTCTAGAATACGTATTATGTGTTATTTGGATTTTAGTGAGAGGGATACCATGTCCACTGTTAATGTCATGTCATGTCATGTCATGCCGTCTTATCCCCTTCTGTTCGATGCGCTTTCACTCACTGACATGACTGCTGATACGTTAGTCATAGTACACCAAGGAACTCGCACTACCCTATGTAATTATATACTGAACAGCATTGAAAACGCACCACCATGAAAATGGGTGTATTTTTATCCGGGCTTAAGTCATATGAAAATATATAAGTGAATGAGTAATATACGACGTTCTGGACGAAACATGAAGAAGAACAGCTCGTCAAAACTCATTTCTAAATTTTTTGTGAGCGACATCGCCAAAACGCAACAAATTGCGTGCACATCATGGAAAACGTGTTTTGTTTCACGGGAAGCATGCAGAATAGGGCTATAAAAGACAGACTTCATCACTTGTTGCTGCAGACGTAAAGGGTACTGACACAAGAAATGCCAATTTTAACAGCAGAGGAACGTGAACGTGCCTTGGGCATGCTTCAAGTTGGTACGTCAAGTAGAGTCGTTGCACAACGGTTTCAATACCATCATTCAAGTCCTCAGGCTACTGTCAGATACCAGCAGACAAGAACCACCAGAGATCGACCACGTCCGGGTCAACGTCGTGTAACTACACCCCGTCAGGATCGCCATATTGTTCGTCGGCATCTTCGTGATCGTACACTTCCGGCTACCAGGACTGCAGCAACCGTACAAGACCGACGGGGTTTGATCAGCGCTGACATCGTACGTCGACGTCTCCGCTCAGCAGGGCTACGTGCTCGACGTCCATATGTTGGACCCATACTCACTGATCGACATCGAAATGAACGTCTGCGTTGGGCCAAAAGGCATCGTCATTGGAGATTGCGGCAGTGGCATGGTGTGCTGTTCTCTGATGAGTCCCGTTTTCATTTACGGAATGCTGACGGTCGACTGCGAGTGTGGCGTCGACGTGGAAAACGTTACCACAATGACTGCGTTGTACAGACAGATCGATGGGGGGGGGGGGGGGGGGGGGGGGGTGTGTGTCATGGTGTGGGGCGGCATCAGTCATAACCATCGAACAGAGCTCCATGTTTGTCGTGGAAGAGTTAATGCCCTTTACTACAGGAATAACATATTGGCAAATCACGTCATCCCATTCTTTCAACAGCACCAGGATATGCACACCTTCCAGCAAGATAATGCAAGAGCGCACACAGCACGTGTTTCAACACAGTAACTAGCGAACAATAATGTGCCTCTGCTTCCATGGCCAGCCCTGTCACCCGATCTATCGCCAATTGAACATCTATGGGATTACCTGGGTCAACGCCTCTCACGTCGTCCGCAAGTACAGAACCTGAGAGAACTTGAAGATACACTACGTCAAGAGTGGAATGCCCGAGAACACTATTAGCAGACTTATTCGATCAATGAGAAGACGTTGCATGGCGTGTTGCTGCCAATGGCGGACATACCAGATATTGACTTTTCATTTTAACCCTATGTGTCTTCCTTACACTGATGACGTAAATGTAATTACTGTGTGGTATTCCTGTTTCCTTTGTCGTCTTTCTTAATAATCCGTCTATGTCTGTTCTAATTAAAATCGGTCATTGCTCAAGTTGTTTTTGTAATATTTCAAGATTTATTCCTGGTGCGTTTTTAATGCTGTTCAGTATATTTGTAAACTCTCTGAATTGATAAATGTGTTCCAGGTTCCGATCCATGTAAAAGCTACATTTCCTTCCCCTTTCTCGAGAAGAGAAGCATCAACTACACCCTACCGACAGCCTACACCCTAACCAAAGTAGTTAGATTTGTAAACTCTCTGAATTGATAAATGTGTTCCAGGTTCCGATCCATGTAAAAGCTACATTTCCTTCCCCTTTCTCGAGAAGAGAAGCATCAACTACACCCTACCGACAGCTGATACACCGCTGAACGACTTATACATAGACGCAAGTAATGATTGGTTCGGCGAAGAAGGGTATGATCTGGTGTTAAGTTCTCCCCCACCGGGTGATGGACGTTGCGGAACGTCGTATCCTTTATGGGTTCGAGGTAATCACTGCTTGATTGATTCCATAGTGAAACTTTACAAACAGATTATTAGCTGAAGGTGTCATGTATGGCATATTACTTGTTTTATGTTTCATTTGAATTCAATATGTATGATATTCACGATAGGGAAACGCAAGGGAACAATTAGATCTTTACCGAATGTATAATTTCGTTCAATAAAGCAATGCTGGAAACGTATGTGAATACAAAGTTAGAGCTAACCGGCCAATTTGTCAAATGCTTCATATTCGCGGCCATGTTTGTCTACAGAATCATCCACACTTCGGGAAAACGTACGGCGCTTACAAGTAATTCCTTCGCGGTATCCTCACTTGAATATTTATCGACTCGTGATACCAAGTTAATCTGATTGGTTTATCACACCAATAATAATCCTTTATGATAAATTAAATATCATGAAATTCACATGGGTTTTAGTCAGACTTCATTTCTATTTCGTGTTGGTGGAACGAGTTCATATTCAACAGTGCCTTACATGCCGTCATCCGTGATCATTCATATAATTTTCACTGGTAATCACTGACTGATTGCTTTAACACAGATACACTCCCTCTTGGTGGTATGAACAAGACAGTTGAAGTGTGCATGAAAGATGGACCGGAACACTGTTCTACGTCGTTCACGATAGATGTAAAGGATTGTGGTACGCTACGTGTTTATCAGCTGAAGAAACCGCCTGTTTTTGAAGCAGCATTTTGTGTTGGTAAGAAAACACTCGCATGAATAACTGAATACATAAAACAAACGTTCGACACTTATGTAAAGAATGCATACCTTTGTCTAGAGAATTTTATTGTATTTGATCGACAAAATAGATTTAACCAGAACAGAAATATTGATTTCCACTAAGCCCCCTCCCTCTACCCCCTGTAAAAATATAGTTTCATGACATAATTCTATTCCAAAGTATAAATTCATGAAATAAAAGGAATACTACTTATATGATCAGACAGTGTACGCACTCGTTACTGTCTTTAATTATTATTATCGAAATCCCCTGCACAGTCTCATTAGAATATAGATGTTTTACTCTGATACAATACCCCAGTGCGTCGTAAAGATCGACAGGGTGTATACAGTACCCACAACATATATAACGCGGCCTGTATGGAAATATGTGCATGTCCAAATATGACAATACTAGGCCATAACACAATCATGTTTGTCCTACTGTTCATACATGTACATGTATCAAATATATATATGCATGTTCATTTTCAGATCTGACAAACCCCACGAAACGTACGTATGTCTTTCACAAATCGGAGATTCTCTGGAACCGTCTCCCTGCTGCCATCAATTCCTAACAAGCAATCTCCTTTCATAGCTTGTTTCAAAGCAGTCCTGAAAATTCATCTCTTCGCACTTCGATACTATATATAATTGTTTCTTCCTTTTCCTTTATTTTTATGTAGCAGTTCTATGAGAATGCATTTGTGGATTTATATGGTGTATTACAAATGTCCAGTAGCAGTAGTAGTAGAGCAGAAGCAGCAGTAGCAGTAGCAGTAGTAGTAGTAGTAGTAGTAGTAGTAAGAGTAGTAGAAGTAGTAGTAGTAAGAGTAGTAGTAGTAGTAGCAGAAGTGAAAGTAGTAGTAGTAATAGTAGTAGTAGTAGTAGTAGTAGTAGCAGCGGTAGTAGTAGTAGTAGTTACAGATTAAATAAAAATGCAGCAAAGAGGGTTTTGGTGATCCTGGCACAGTCAGGCTGGTTAGGCTCATCTTCAGCACAGGGCCTTTGTCCCCTCTACACGCAGTCCAGACAGCGAACGGGACTTCTCCCAGGAAGCGCTGCCTAGTCAAACCAACCGAGAATCTTTTGGAGAATGTGAAAACTCCCCAACACTGCAACCTTCTGCATTACCCAGATTGTCAGAAGGGCTGTATTCCTGGTAGCAAATCAGGGTACTCTCCCAATGCCAGACAACAGATGGGGGATACCAAACCTAAGGCACCGAGAACAATGGGGAAAGCTCAGTTACAAAAGAACATACACTGCAACGCAGCTGATTGGGAGAAAATGGAAAAGTTCCTAACTGGCCATATTTCAATTCAGTGATGTACCCATCTGAACTCATTGATGCTAATAAACACAAATTCGACCACTGCAATTTCTAATAACAATTATTATAGCAAAGTTTTTGCATGCATGTAGCTGGAATATTACGGTGTTAAAAATCAAAAACAATAAAATGTAGGTTCGACTCTCTATCTCTCGTTCACATTTTTCCCTTCAGCAAGAACATCATTCAAAGTTAAGCCCACTGTTCACGTTGACGTGGAAACCGACACACACAACAAGGACCACTTCAAATTCACATGTACGTTTGGCAAGTCTCACGATGACCTGTTGTACCATGTCCTCTGGTATGTTAACGGCGGATTCATATATTCCTTCCCTCCTAAACATTGGTCAAACACGTTCGTTGATCATTCAGCTCTCACTGAAGACATCTTAACCAGAAGTGGATTCAGTACTCCTGGATTCCAGGTATGTCGTTGGGATTCCGTTATGCAAAGAATTCCTCCATGACTGTGTGTATGTTTGTAATTGGATGGTCTGTCTTCGTGACTTTGCTACTTTGCTCTGTCATTATTCATCGACATGTTGGACGTTGCTATATCAGCGATCATAAGTACGTTTTTAACTCGATTATTTACATGTCGCCTGTCATATAGCTTGAATATCGCTGAATGTGACGTTATTAGTAACATATTTTTTTTAAACAAAACAGACGACACATGAAATGCGTTATTGCCATTTAAGTTGATCGGACATTAAAGGTTAGTGTTTTCAGGCTAATAAAATATATTTGATAAAAAACATAATATAGACATTTACTAAACTGACGTCGTGAGAGAGTTTGGCTTTTACGCCGCTTTTAGCAATATTTCAGCAATATCAGGGCGGGGGACACAACATTGTACGGGGGTAATCGAACACGCGCAATCGGCGTGACGAGCGAACGCTTTAGCACTAGGCTACCCCACCGCCCTCTAAGCTGACCCTCGTTGAGAACAAGATCAAGTGTCTAATGGCGAAAATTAGAAACATTTTCAAATCCAGTTTGGTTAAAACAAAATATAATGCATGTACAGACTTACTTTTGATTAACTATCTATTACTTGCAGGTTCAGTGTGCAGTGAAGGCATCTCTGGGTGAGGGTTTCCCTGCGGGTGGAAGTATCTTAAGTGACGAAAAGTTCATCGGTATCAAGGTAGATTAATCTCCTTCAGGCTCGGTGACTTTGTTGATCGTGTCCCTACGACATGTGATGCTGCTCATAATGTCGACCTCTGACCCAGACTCGATTATTTACAGGTCGTCGTTCACTTGTATGAGAGAGAGAGAAGTTTTAAAAAAAAGAATATAATCAAACCTCTTTTTAACTAAAAACAAATACAAATACAATTGTCAAAAGAAAAGAGTTCGTCATTTTTTTACTTAAAAAAATATTGGAGCACCAGCAAAGATAATTTACTTCCTGAAGATTAAATAATGAAGCTGATGTAACGTTTACAGCGGCTCTTTTCCTTTAAAATCACCCTCATACTTATTGTTAAATGTTAACAAACACCTTTCCAATATCATTATTCTAAGGATATAGAAAATATGGAGGAAATATTTGGTATCCAAACAGGATCCATTTACGAAATATATCTGCAGAATATAAAAAGTTTGAATAAGTTTGGTTTTACTCCTCTTTGAACAGTATTTCAGTTAAATGTGTACCACGGTGTAAGCTTAATGTGGGGAAAACTCCGAGGTGATTCAGGGCGTTTGGTTATGACCAAGAGGATGAGTATTGTCCTGAACAACCTATCGAAATATATTCAGGGCGAATCTGGGATTCGAACCTAAATTCCTAGGTTTCTGACCGCCTCCGTGGTCTAGAGGTAGAGCGTCCGCCCGGAGAGCGGAAGGTCCGGGGTTCGATCCCCGACCGCGTCATACCAAAAGACGTTATAAGATGGTACTTGTTACCCTGTCTGGCGCTCGGCATTAAGGGGCTAATACAAGGACTGGTCGGCTCGGAGTCAGTATACAGTGTCTGAGTTGGGTATTCATGTTAAACTGCGTCATGGTATCTCAGTGAGCTAGCACTATAAATCGGCATCAGTCATCAGTCCGGACTAGTACAAGCAGCCACACACACACACACACACACACACACACACACACACGCATGCACGTCGCTATGTAAGTGCAATAATCTTGGACTGTATCATCCGTGCCCCCTCCACTTAAGTAAAGCTGGTGTGGCAAAATGTCTTCATGCTATATTTCTTCATGAAATCATTATATGTAGTGAACGGGCTTCACAAATGTAACATTTCTTTCTCGGGTAGATTCCAAGTGGCACAGTGGTTGTGAAAGAAGGAGAGAGTGTGATGTTGAACCTTACCCTAACAGCACCACTTGGATGTGGATCACGGTCATACTGTTCGATGGCAGTATTTGTAGTCGCCAGGAATCAACCAGGATTGTGTGACCCCTCGGCCTTCATCCCGACCCAGTGTGGTCTTACCATCAAAGGATCTTCTTGGCGCACACTTCATCATCTTGAAATTAAAGGAAAATTGACCTCGGGCTACAATGCCAAAACGGCGTTGATAAGGTTGTACTTGAAGACAGATAACCTCGTAATAAGTCATCCTTTCTGGTCGAAATACGAAATTGGAAGCGTGGCGGTAAGTGATAATAAACCCATTATTCCTTTAGTTATTTCAAACTGTCTCCTCCGTGGTGTAGTGGATAGATCACCTTCCCGGGGAGTGGAGGGTCGGTGGTCGATCCCCTGGTCGCGATATACCGAAAGGTGGCACTTGCTGTTGAACTGCCTGGTGCTCGGCATTAAGGGGATAAAGCTTGGAAGGAGTCAGTATTATGTGTTAAACTGCAACATGGCATCTCAGTTGTCCAACACGATGGAACGAGAATAAATCCCGACTAGTACAAGTAATTATATTCACGCACGTGCATGTGCGTAGCTATAGAAGTGAAATGATCTAGAACTCGACGTTCATCCCGCCGCCTTCTGGGCGAGACTTCACGAGATCTCTGTTCACTATAATTCCAAAGTAGCATCAGAGATTGTGGTAGAAGGCGACACAAGAGGATGTGCTTGTTTCAATGCGTGATCTGAGAGAATGAGTAGATATTCTGTACCGCCAGTCAGCAATGTTCCAGCTGCATGAATCGTGTCTACATATGTTTTGTTTATGAAGTCATCCATTCAATACAAGTAAATGTTGATACATAGCTATTCGAGTATGGTTTTACCCCGATTTTAGTTATATTCCAGCAATATCACGACGGGGGGACACCAGAAAGATGCTTCACGCATTGTACAGACGTGGGAAATCGAACCTGGGTCTTTGGCGTGACGAGCGAACGTTTTACCCACCTGGCTACCCCACTGTCCCCGATCAATATTAATGGGGCCACATTTCAGTGAACATCAATTAGTCTCCAATTAGCTTTAGAATAGTTCCGCGAAGTTATCGTTTTGAGCGACTAAATTTCGATGAGGTCATGCTGTGTGACTTGGTTGACAGCGCGCAATCTGAAACAATCTGAAACAATAAGATTCAGCGCTGGTATCTTTGATGTGTAGCATTGCGATTGTATTGAGATGTAGATGAACAGTTATCAGTAAAACCCGGAGTGATGTAGGTCTTTATCACCTCGGTGCAACCCAAGAGCACGAGTTTGGTGCAAGAATCTGGGTTGCGATTACTGGAATCCGTCATAGCTTAAGGGACGCAACTCCATACAGCGAAGTACGGCGCCTTTGACGACTGGACATCGGAAACACCAGTACCTTTTATCTCCATTTACATTAACCCTTACCAATAGCTTTCTTGGTGGTTACATATTTCACAATACGTTCCGCTCATTGAATGTGAAAAACAGTGCTATTTTGAAGGCAGTTCATAGATGTTTCACTGTCCTTTATACAAAGTCTCCATGAAGATCCGGGTTAAAATTGTTCGTCAACAACGCGTGCTTGTCGTAAGTGTCGACTAACGGGATCGGGTGGTCAAGCTCACTGACTTGGTTGATGTATGTCATGGTATCCCAACTGTGTTGGTTGGTCCGCATGCTATCAGTCAGTGGCTTGTCTGCTCTAGAGTCATCTATTTACAGACCGTCGTCATATAGATGAGTGCGGCGTTAAACAACAAGCTTTTTATCCCCCGCCGGACCAGAATGGCCGAAGGGGGATTATGTCGTGGCGCAGAACGTCCGTCCGTCTGTCCGTTCCACCGAGGGTACTAAGCTTATGAAATCAAATCCTCCTACAGTTTCCAGAGACTATCCCTGACACTCTACACACAAGATGTCGACATGTTGATGATACGCATACCGCAGTCCCGTTTCCTTTCGACAAATGTTGACAGAGTTACTTCCCATGTTTTACGGAGCTTCATTTGCCTAATTGTGAGAGAGTGTACTAAGCTTTGAAATCAAACCTCCTACAGTTTCCAGAGAATATCACTGACACTCTACACACAAGATGTCGACATGTTGATTATACGCATACCGCAGTCCCGTTTCATTTCGACAAATTTTGACAGAGTTACTGCCCCTGTTTTACGGAGCTTCATGAAATCTACTCCTCCTCCAGTTTCCAGAGAATATCACAATATCTAACTATAACTATAACTAAAGTTAGTTTCCATGTTTAAGGCTTTTATGGGTGAGCTACATCCTTATGGCATTAGCATTCAGACTGGATTACTCCCAACAAAATGTTCTGCACAATTTGTTTCAAATGCAGTGCCATCTACTGTTGTTATTTCATAAAATACAAAGAAAATATAAATTCGTTAAAAACATTCATGCGGGGGATTTTGTGCTCTCAGAGCACTCTTGTTTATGTATATGTATTTTTTGTTCTGCCGCAATAGTGCTGAAATATTGCCATTGTGAAGTTGAAATGTAATATACTCACTTAATAAAAACGTTCGAAAATTTAATTTTGAAGGTTCAAGTTGTAAAGGAAGCTGTTATTAACAAACAAAGCGTCTGCCATGCTGTGCAGGACCCGCACATGAGAACATTTGACGGAAGGTAAGGAAAACACATTGATTCAATGGGTCAAGGGTATTTATCATGGGAATACTTCACTGGGTAGTCAAGGATGGTCGTGATCGCGAATCGACGACCGCCATCATAATACTCAACCCAAAATTAACTTTTTTGCTTTAGAGAAATGATATAGACGTGATAGCGCTACATGTCAATTTTGTAAGTCTACAGAAAACAATACTCTACATCTTATAATTTCAAATCATCATTTTTTCAGATTGTATGAATTTCACCAGCCCGGCGTGTTTCTATTGTATAAACACGATGAATTGGAATTAGAGGTATGACCTTGTCGTTATATATCCCCCTCTGCAATGTCGGAAGGGTATATAAACTGCCTGGCAAAAGAAAGTATACACCCAAGTGTGAATGTACAATACAAACAGGCTATAGCGAACATAAAATGGCTGCTTTTCGATGGTGATATTTTGAAATGGGTATCATAGTTGTGTTGTTGGGCCTTACGTTTGGAGTGTTTCGGCGACTGTTGTAAGCTAGTAACGTTTTAATAAGGAGTGTAGTTTTTGGCCAAATCCAATTTTCAAGTGTATATTTCTTACTCAATTTGAAATGAGATAAAACAAGAACATTTTTCTTTATAAACATAAATTCAAACAAAATTTTCTTCAAGAAATATTAACAAATTTTCCATGATCTCTTTGCACGTTCAAAGAAATATGTCTTTCTAATTCATTTCAAGAGATACTTATACTCACTGTTTTTTGACAGGTTCAAATGCAAGTATCACAGTGTTATCCTCCACGCAACACAGTGCAATGTCCCTGTGGTATAGCGGTTCGAGCTGGACAGACCATATTCCATATAGATAAATGTAACAGACCTAACTGGAGTATTGACTTCGTGTTATGCAAGGATGGTAAAGACCTCATCAAAATTTTAAAAAGTGGAACTCAATACAAGGTTTGTGTACAACTACGTCAAGCTCCCAAAATACTTCTGACAATACACCGTACAGTGTATGCTGTTCCAAATTGATGGTCGTTAGAGGCGACTAAATTAGGCTAAGTTTTCAGGCACGTAACTCGTGCTCCGATGGCCTTGTTTGTTGCTCATGATATCAGTCACATGTTTGTCTGTAATAGTAATATGAGAGTAACTTAAGCCGGTATTAGTTATTGTCATTAGGTACTGTACTGTATCATATTAACAGTTTAACCTGGCAGGTTACAAGTGACGTCGCAGTCGTTTATTTAAAAATAAATTAAAACTACATGTACGTGGGAATTTCGGTTTGAATAGTCCCCCAGTATATTATGCTGGTTATAACAGGCCTCAAGACGCGCACTGTCTCGAGAATTTGCGGGAACAGGACTAAAAAGGTAAACTGTCGAAATCTGACATTTATTTGTTTGATCACTTACTATAAGCATTCTTACCTCTGACATATTTATATTTCCCAGATATATTTGCCAACTGGATCCTACTTGGATATCAACGTTACTCCTACTTCAAAGTTCATCAATATACAAATATATCCTTCGTATAACGATCATGGAAAGGTGTCTGGACTGTGCGGAACATTTACCAATAAGTGTGAGGATGATTTCAAGAAAAGGGATGGAACCTTTGAAACGGACCCCAAAGCCAAACACGCATGTGCCAATGGAAACGCTTTGGACAGATTTGACAGTTTCGCGTTTACCTGGAGGTATATTCTGACTTAAAACAAACCTAGAAGGCAAACTATATATTCGGGGTATGTCCGACTTCATGTACATGTAATGGTAGCATTCAAATGTTATTTAATATTTGGGGAAGGTAGGGTAGTCTAGTTGTTAAAGCGTTCGATTACCAACATGGGTACAATGTGTGAAGCCCATTTCTGGTGTCCCCCACCGTGATATTGTTGGGATATTGCTAACAGTGGCTTAAAACCAAAATCAGTCACATCTAAATACATGTATGTGTCTAATACATGTTACATATGGTGGCATTTCAGGGCCGACGTGAATCTGTTCAACCATGACGATTTCCATAGATTGAAACCCTGGACACCCCCCATTCTGCTTTGCACATGTGTCTACCACAACAGATTCCCGCAGAAATTGGTTGAAAAAGTAACATGTTCATCGGAATTAAACAAAGATGTGTGCATCTTCAACCAACGCTTTCTCCCACCGCCTTCATCCTTCAGGCAATGCGCAAGTGAAACCAACAGAAGAAGGCGTTCCCCTGTTCAACGCCAAATGTACCGAGAAAAAAGAGATGCGGTAAATTTTATCTGACACTGATTTAGGAAATAACGTTTGTTGGAACATGAGATATTTTGTAGATGTAGATATGCGTTAACGACAATCTGCAATGAGTAAGTCGGGTCTTGGACCAGAAAAACGATATTTTTACATGTATTATCATAGGGCCAGAAAGTCGGCGTATGGTGTTGTAGGCTGACATTGTATGATTTGCAGACAGCTGTTTTGGCCACTAGGAAACCATTTTAGTCCATTCTAAGGATGAATACTAGTACATGAAACCGATCCTGTCCCGTTTGATGAGTGCGTCAGTGAGTATGGTTTTACGCCGCTTGTAGTAATGTTCCAGCAATATCACCGAGGGGGACACCAGAAATGGGCTTCACACATTGTACCCATGTCGGGAATCGAACCCGGGTCTTTTGCGTGACGAGCGAACGCGTTAACCACTAGGCTACCCGACCGCCCCCTGCGCTGTAAGAGAAAATACTAAGTGTTGAACCATTCAACATTTGATCTCGGGAACACGAGACAGAATTTATTTCGCATGTCACAATACGGCAGTTACTTGAATGTGTTGCTGTATGATCATAGAGGTCATTGTCGCGTAGGTAAAACTGAAGCAGGCTATGCTACTTGGGAAAGTCTAATTGTTTCTGACTCTCTACCTTGTTTAAGATTGTAGATTCATATTTACCCGTGACGATCCGGGGTAGAATAGGTCTTCAGCAAACCATGCTTGAGGTAAAAGGCGACTATACTTGTCGTAAGAGGCGACTAACGGGATCTGGTGGTCAGGCTCGCTGACTTGTTTGATGCATTTGTATGACCGCCGTCATAAAACTGGAATATTACTCAGTGCGGCGTAAAACAACAAACCAAACCAAACCAAAACCATGTCCACTATGTCTAGCTACGTTGTGTAGGTAGATGTATCAATATAGAGAAGTATGTTTTTTTATGCTTACACCCGCTGTGCTTACATTAAGCGTACAACGCTGTGCGGCGTTAAACAACAAACACATGTTTTAGATTTTGTAATGTGTTATTAGGAGGACGCGGGAACACTGACAACGTGGACAACAGCTACAGCCACAACATACTGTAACCAGCTGTTCAACAATTCTCCTCCAATAGCTGCTTGCAGGACTGTTGAGGGCGTGTCTAAAATCATAAAACAACACGAAGACAACTGTATCATGGATATAACTGTATGTATTCCATCATTATATAAACGATATACTTACCGTCATACATGTATCTGTGCTCATGTTTTCAATAAATGCTTTCAAAATTGCCTGGTCCGCCGTGACTTCATAGGAATATTGCGAACTCACTACTATGCGTTACTTATGAAGATCGGCTAATTACAATGACGTGGCTGAATGTGTGCCATCATGCCCTAATGGCTTGGTACCATTACTTTGCCTTTACCAAACTCGATTTAAATTATTAACAGACCGCCGTGAAATAGCAGTTATATTGCTGACTGTGGCGTAAAATGAAATTTCACTCACTCACTCACTCACCCATTCATTCACTCACTCACTCGATCACTCACTCACTCACTCACTCATTCTCTGTTAACAAAGGCGATCAATGCAGTAGACTTTGCAACCCACTCGCTCGAGGCAGCCAAATCTGAGTGCATTCACGAAGTGGAGATGAATTCAACGTTGCATACTGAGAAAACACCTGGTGTTCCTTCTTTCCTAAGCACTTTGTCTGCCATGACATGTAGTCACGATTGCTCTGGTAAAGGGACATGTCAAAATGGTACGAAATCAAGGAAATATTATTTTGTAGTCGGAATATAGTTGTGTCCTTTGTATCCAAACTTGTTGAAACCTCATTCAAATACACATTTCATCTACCCATCCACGGCGTGGAGCGTTGCTTTGGGTATCAATTACTGTATTGTCTGGCTTAGACTCGATTATTTACAGGACATCGTCATGCAGCTTGAAAACTGCTGAGCGTGACGTTAAACATTTAAACATTCAACAAGGCGAAGCAAAGGGTCTATGTTGACATGAGAATGTTCATTAGCACATTGTTTCCCTTTGTCAACCCCTAAAACACACACACACAAAATGAAATTATATATAAAATAAAATATATTATATAAATTATATATAAACACACACACATTTTAGGGGTTGACAAAGGGAAACAATGTGCTAATGAACATTCTCATGTCAACATAGACCCTTTGCTTCGCCTTGTTGAATGTTTAAATGTTTAACGTATATATACGTTTGGAAGAAACGAATTGACGGGTACAACGAACTGGTCTCTATTGGCCACGGCCATTTGCTGTTTAAATGCCTATAACGAACAAAAACTAGTGGTCCCTCTGAGTTTGTTATCACCGTAGTTTATTGTATTTATATGGATACAAGAAAACAAAATTCATGCAATAACTTCATACCTGTATATTAGGTGCATGCTCCTGTAACGATGGGCTTGGTGGAGATGACTGTTCCATTGACAAGTCTCTACCTCCTGTTATCGATGGCATTAGCGGAGACGGGTACTGCGATCTGGCCTCAGATGTCTGCAATGAGACGTCGCTGCATGGTCCATATTTTGACGAACATGGACAACTGCAATGCCGATTTGTACCTTTCACTGTAAGCATGGTTATTTTACCAAAAGCTGAGCTTTTCGACACTTATTTGTCGACATTTTACACACAATAAGGGGCACGTGTGATCCAGTCGTCTACTATTAGTCAGTTGGCCACCAGCGGAAAAGAGGCTTAGTTTAGATTTTCGTTCCCACATTTTCCTGTATACCTTAAACCTTTTCTATTGCATAAAGGAGGTATCTGTACACAATTTTCATTGGGTAGTAAGCTTGCATGTGTGTGCAGGAATTTTCAGGGGATCAAAATTGCATAAATTGAAGGCAAAATGCATAATTTGACAGAATTGGCTGTAACATTTTTATTAAGTCATTAAACTATCCAAATTATGTCTTTGATTACAGGTAATATGTTCGGTTATCTGAATTTGGCAAACATTTTGTTTCATTTAATTGTTATTCTAATTCTCAGTGGAAACATTAGTAAAAATCATGTTTTTTTACTTCATTTTCAAATCTTGTGAGTAGGTTTAACACTAATTCCATTGAATTGTGACAATAAAACCACTATAACTGGGTATTAAAATCTGCCTTATCCATTGTACTAACCTATACAAAAAACAAAATGAAAATATATTACATAGGGGTTGAGATATTGTATACAATGTTATCCCACCCCCCAAAAACCAATTTTGACGAAAATTGCTTATTGAGATATGGTGGTAGATGATGTTGCTGTAGTGGATGAGTGGGATAATTGCAACAATGCTTAAAAACACCAAAATAGTAAACTCATAAAGAAAAATGATGTTTCAAGTTTTTCCGTGAGCATTTATGGTGGCCATCTTGAATTTCAAGATGGCCGCCATTTTGACCTGTTTTCAAAATCAAGATCTTATATAGTTCTTCAACATGGTCATGTAATATATCATATGAAAGCTTTTCACATTTTCTTTTCAATTATATACATTATTCACTGACTCATGTGGTAAATTGTTCCCCAACAATGAAAAAAGGAAATATTGAAATCTAATTACTCTCGCGACTTCAACCCATACCCAAATTTAGATTTAAATTAAAATGGACATATTTTCACTCAAAATTGTAGATATACTGCACTTTAGTTCTTCAACATGGTCATGTAATATATCATATGAAAGCTTTTTTACCTTGTCTTTTCAATGATGTACCTTATTCACTGACTTCTGTGGTAATCTTATCCCCCCAATAATACAACAAATGATATATCGAAAGCTAATTTCTCTAGCAACACCAACCAACCTCCAAAGTTGTATTTCAATAAGATGGATATCGTTTCACTCATAATTGTAGATATACAGTACTTTTGTCTGAGCATTTCACTAGTTTATCGTTTGAGTGTAAAAACATGAGAATACTTCTAGTATTATGAAGTATTAAAGATTACATCACAGAGTCATGGGCTGTGAAATAATGCCACCTCTAGTCACCGTCAGAGTCCATCTCTTCTGGAAAGGTAGGTAAATTGTTTCTGTTTAGGCATGACATAGCACAACTGCATCCAAGGGAACGTCCAATGATGTTCTTGGCGCAGCTACACCTGGATGAGGAGCATCTACCTGTTGTGCATTTACAGGTGAGCAATTCTAGACACAGTGCTGGCTTCTGGGTCATTGGAATGGGTTCTCAGTGGACGACCACCTATACTCTTCTGGTGGTGGAATGTCAGCCTTTCCTTTAAGTGCAGAACACCATGTGATGCACTGGTGCTGACATCTGAGTAGAGGTTGTGTGGTGGGAGTTCCTCTAGGTCTCCAACTCTGTGGAACATGTCAGCTGTAAGTGTATTAATGCCAGTTGTAGTTGATGCTGGATTGTACACTTTGACGACAACTGTTTCTGTCTTTTTCATGTTGACAGCACCAGTTTCTTCTGTTGGTTGCAACAAATCTGGTTGTGCGATAAATATGTTCCAGGTCGACTTCTTGCCATAACCACTGAACAGGCTTGTTGTGTCACAACCATGACCGCACTGAATGCTGGTAGAGTTGCTACAACATCTGGGGTGAGAGATTGATGTACATCATCAACTTGTATGAACAGAGGGTCCTTTGCAGTACCTGCACCCATCTATATCTGAGCAGAAAACCGATGTTTATGATTTATCAACGGTACTAACACATCAGTGTCTCGGTTGTGAATGACTCTGTGGTCGTATACATTGCAGGAGGCATCAATGACATGCATCATCCTTTGTGTATCTGCCTCTTCATGTGTTTATAGTAGATTTGGTATTGCTGCAGATTGATCTAAGGAAGACATTACATCATCATGGTATGAATCGAGGTGACAAGCTTTTGTCAGAGTTCATTGACAATCGATTGGCGGATAATGCTGAGAGTATTCATGACAAAATATCAGAAAATATGTCCAACAGTACATGTTCCGCGATGTACACCATGCAGGTATAAAAGAAGTCAACTCAAACCAATACCTTTAAGCAAGGAAGAAATCTTTTCAGAAGGTTGCTGAGTGCCACCCACATTGGAAGAGAAGTGAACGTACCACATCTTCTAACACTTGAGCTGTCCCAGACCCCACCTTCCCTGGCAACAACAGATGGTCTACTTTGTACAACAAAGCTGCATTATCACATTTGCTTGCAGATTCTCATGCTACCATCAACTGATGACACAACATGCATTGTTATTTCTGGCATGGCTCTTGTACAGGCTATAGGCAAACCAAGCAAAGCTAGGACCTTTGGAGATTTGGCTGATGTTTTCAATTGGAATGTGCTGAAGAACTTCAGTGAAACTTGTTCTTAAGTCGATGATGTCTTTGACCAATATGTTGCAAAGTCAGTACTCGGACAAAAAGAGGTGATCGATCAAAGAAAATTCGAAGAATAATAGATAAATGAGACATCCTTCTGCTGACTTCATTGTCCAGTTTTATTGAAATGGACAAGCAAAATTTGACACAATTCTTGACCACAGAATTGCACACACAGGCACAGCATCTCCATCATAATCATCAAATCATCATCATTGCAGGTGGATTAAGCAGCCCAGATACAGCAGTATCTACCATAGATCAATCTGAAGCAATGCCAAATCTACTGTCAACACATAAAGAGGCAGATACACGAATGGTGATCAATGTCATGGATGCCTCCTGCAATGGATACGACCACAGAGTCATTCACATCCGAGACACTGATGTGTTAGTACAGTTGAAACATCATAAACATCGGTTTTCTGCTCAGATATGAATGGGTGCATATCAGTTGATGATGTACATCAATCTCTCATTCTCTCAGATGTTGTATTAGCTCTACCATCATTCCATGCGGTCACAGGTTGTGGACCTGGAACATATTTATTGCACAACAATATTTGTTGCAACCAACAGAAGAAACTGGTGCCTTCAACATGAAAGAGACAGACTCACTTGTCATCAAAGTGTACAATCCAGCATTGACTGCAACTAGCATTAATACACTTACAGCTGACATGTTCCACAGAGTTGGAGACCTAGAGGAACTCCCACTACACAACCACACAACCTCTACTCAGATGTCAGCACCAGTGCATCACATGGTGTTCTGCACTTAAAGGAAAGGCTGACAAACCACCACCAGAAGGGGATAGGTGGACGTCTCCAGACGATGTCATAGAACCCATCCCAATGACCCAGGAATAAATGCCAGCACTGTGTCTAGAATTACTCACCTGTAAATGCCCAACAGGTAGATGCTCCTCATTCATGTGTAGCTGCGCCAAAAACATCATGGGATGTTCCCTTGGATGCAGTTGTGCTATGTCATGCCTACACAGAAACAACTTACCTACCTCTACAGATGAGATGGACTCTGACGGTGACTAGAGATGACATTATTTCACATTCTATTTTTAATACTTCATAATACTAGAAGTATTCTCATGTTTGTTTCTTCACTATAATTATAAACTAGTGAAATGCTCAGACAAAAGTGCAGTATATCTACAATTTTGAGTGAAACGATGTCCATTTTAATTTAAATCTAAATTTGGGTAAAGTCGCGAGAAATTAGCTTTCAATATTTCCTTTTTTCATTGTTGGGGAACAATTTACCACAGGAGTCAGTATATCATTGAAAAGACAATGTGAAAAGCTTTCATATGATATATTACATGACCATGTTGAAGAACTATATAAGATCTTGATTTTAAAAACAGGTCAAAATGGCGGCCATCTTGAAATTCAAGATGGCCACCATAAATGCTCACGGAAAAACTTGAAACATCATTTTTCTTTATGAGTTTACTATTTTGGTGTTTTTAAGCATTGTTGCAATTATCCCACTCATCCACTACAGCAACATCATCTACCACCATATCTCAATAAGCAATTTTCGTCAAAATTGTTTTTTTGGGGGTGGGGTAACATTGTATACAATATCTCAACCCCTATGTAATATATTTTCATTTTGTTTTTTGTATAGGTTAGTACAATGGATAAGCCAGATTTTAATACCCAGTTATAGTGGTTTTATTGTCACACTTCAATGGAATTAGTGTTTTACCTACTCACAAGATTTGAAAATGAAGTAAAAAAACATGATTTTTACTAATGTTTCCACTGAGAATTAGAATAACAATTAAATGAAACAAAATGTTTGCCAAATTCAGATAACCGAACATATTACCTGTAATCAAAGACATAATTTGGATAGTTTAATGACTTAATAAAAATGTTACAGCCAATTTTGTCAAATTATGCATTTTCCCCTTCAATTTATGCAATTTTGATCCCCTGAAAATACCTGCACACACTTGCAAGCTTACTACCCAATGAATATTGTGTACAGATACCTCCTTTATGCAATAGAAAAGGTTTAAGGTATACAGGAAAATGTGGGAACGAAAATCTTGTTTTTCACCCCTGGCCAACTGACTATACGGCGTCGCAATTCGATATGTGGAGTTCCGTCCCTTGGGCACACCAGAAACCTATCATTGTGGGTTGGAATCCCGGTTCACCCGATTATGTTTCTAGGTTTGTCTGCACCATACCGTGCTCGTGTGCTTCACCAAATTGGTAAGTGTCTAAGAACCTGCATCATTTCGGGCTTTCCTCCCCCATTAAGCTGACACGCCGTGATATAACAGTAATACTGTTCAGAGCGGCGTCAAACCCAACTCACTCACTCACACTACAAATAATAATTCTAATCTCCTTAATGCCTTATTGGTTTTTTTTGTAATTGAAACCTTTCAGTACCGTGAAATCGGACATGTCACTAAGAATAATTATCACCCTAGGTACATGCTGATGGGACACAAAAGACGGGGACGGTCAGCTACTCTAAACCCTTGGTCGAGAGCTTTGTGGAAGTCATTTGTATCCTTCCAAAACAACAACGTACGAAGCGCTCCCCGAGCTCTCAACCCCCCGAAGCCGAATTAGCAGCTGGGTTTAGAATCTCGATTGCTAACTATGGTGATGTATTCAGCGATGAGAGCGTCCTGGTCATGTACAACTCCAAGTGTCAGTACTGCAATGTGACCGGAAAAGCTGTAGTTTGCGCTTTCACAGTAAGATTATTTTTGTTCCTGAGATTATCCTCGATGTAAGATCCGACTGTAGTACATGATCTTACTTATCGCGTAAGTGCAGTTTGAAGTTTACTCAGGAATTTGAGTCCCAATTTTACATTCACTTCTTTGCAGAACTGTTGTTTGTCATATGGTAAGCATGTTTCTTGTCATATGGTAAGCATGTTTCTTGTCTTTTGGTAAGATTGTTTTTATTTGTCATGTGGTAAGCATGTTTCTTGTCATATGGTAAGCATGTTGTTTGTCATGTGGTAAGAATGTTGCTTGTAATGCGGTAAGCATGTTTTTATTTGTCATGTGGTAAGCATGTTTCTTGTCATACGGTAAGAATGTTGCTTGTCATGTGGTAAGCATGTTTCTTGTCATATGGTAAGCATGTTGTTTGTCATGTGGTAAGAATGTTGCTTGAAAGGCGGTAAGCATGTTTTTATTTGTCATGTGGTAAGCATGTTTCTTGTCATACGGTAAGAATGTTGCTTGTCATGTGGTAAGAATGTTGCTTGTCGTGTGGTAAGCATGTTTTTATTTGTCATGTGGTAAGCATGTTGCTTGTCATGTGGTAAGCATGTTGTTTGTCATATGGTAAGAATGTTTCTAGTCATATGGTAAGAATGTTGCTTGTCATGTGGTAAGCATGTTTCTTGTCATATGGTAAGCATGTTTCTTGTCATATGGTAAGAATGTTGCTTGTCATATGGTAAGCATATTTTTATTTGTCATGTGGTAAGCATGTTGTTTGTCATGTGGTAAGAATGTTGCTTGTAATGCGGTAAGCATGTTTTTATTTGTCATGTGGTAAGCATGTTTCATGTCATACGGTCAGAATGTTGCTTGTCATGTGGTAAGAATGTTGCTTGTCTTGTGGTAAGCATGTTTTTATTTGTCATATGGTAAGCATGTTTCTTGTCATATGGTAAGCATGTTATTTGTCATGTGGTAAGCGTGTTGCTTGTCATATGGTTAGCATGTTTTTATTTGCCATGTGGTAAGAATGTTGCTTGTCATATGGTAAGAATATTTCTAGTCATATGGTAAGAATGTTGCTTGTCATGTGGTAAGCATGTTTTTATTTGTCATGTGGTAAACATGCTGCTTGTCACGTGGTAAGCATGGTGTTTGTCATGTGGTAAGCGTGTTGCTTGTCTTATGGTAAGCATGTTTTGTTATTTGTCATGTGGTAAGCATGTTTTTATTTGTCATGTGGTAAACATGCTGCTTGTCACGTGGTAAGCATGTTTCTTGTCATGTGGTAAGCATGTTGCTTGTCATGTGGTAAGCATGTTTTTATTTGTCATATGGTAAGCATGTTTCTTATCATGTGGTAAGCATGTTGTTTGTCATGTGGTAAGAATGTTGCTTGTCATGTGGTAAGCATGTTGTTTGTCATGTGGTAAGCATGTTGCTTGTCATGTGGTAAGTAATTTGATGATTCATGGATTGCTGGTATCTTTGCACTAGTCCGACTATATTCACAGTATCACCGATTTCAATCAGATTTCAGTCAAAACGTACGTGCATATTAAAATGAATAAAATTGCCAGTTTGAGTGATTATTTTGTTGCTTTAATATATTGTTTTACTGTTTAAAAATACAACATGGCGGTTGAAAAGATACGCTTTCGCAGTTGTAGAAGAGCATTTATCTGTCATTTTACTACTAGATCTATAGGTAATCGTGATGATTTATTCTAATATTTTAGAGTCAGTCTTGCAACGCCAAAGGCGTGTGTGTGAGCCATGGCGACATCCATCCTGAAAAGCCCTGCTACGTTTGTGATGCATCCAGTTCTGTCCGAAAATGGACGCTGAAAAGTGGTAAGAAAGACGTACATTGAGATTAAAAGATTTCATACAGTTATGCTTTCACAGAAATAATGACTTGTACTTTGCAACAGACAAGATTAATCTACAGCCGGAGATGATCATTGTTGAAGCAAAACACATGTGGCCAATTCTGCCTCCTTTGTTTTGTTGTCTAAACAGTAATGTTAATGTTAAAGATATTTTAAGTAACCAACCTTAATCATTTGAAAGAAATAGGTGTACATATATTGTGACTGTATTGATTAATTACACGTTTTTAATTTTTGTCTAAATGATATATTTTATCTACTTTGTTTTATATTGAATCTGAGATATTCACGTTATTGTTTTACCGTTATGTGAGTCTCCTCGTCACAATATGGCGGATATTTTAGCGATTCCCATAGATGACTAATTAGCTGGCACCCCATACAATCGTATTGCTGCATTATTAAAAATAATGCGGAAGTGCGTTACCCATTGCTTTTTATGTCACAAATTGACAATAATTGTCAACAGATCTACTTCAGCAAAGTTTATTTGCTGGGGCGATATTTTAAGATATTGTTAGCTCACAGTGCTAGGGTTTTTGTCATTTCACGTTGTCCGTCAGTACGTCCTGTTAACTTTTGACTGAAACCCGACTGAAGGGATGACCCTGGGGCTTTCTTTTCGAAAACAACAATGTCTAGGGATCTGAAACATCGATATAAAGTTTGTACAAACAATGGGAGGCAGATTTTACATAAATATTTTTGTCTCTAGGATACCTCTTGGATACATTTAAACTTTGAGATAAAGCTCTTAGTTCCAAATTATAATAAGAGGTAGCTAATCTACAGTTGGATTATCCCAAATATCAAAACAGTAGGTTTATCTCCTAATTGAACTGTCATCATGCTTTGATCCCTCATCAAACAGACCATATAACACACCAGCTTAACACGTGGAGCAGAATAGGCTCACCCCTTCGCGAACACCCGGCATCATCACTATTTGATAGAGATTCATAAACACATGTTCATGATATAGTCGGAATCGTTCAATGGACTCTGCATTCAGTAGAGCTTTTTCATGATTGTTGAAATAGTCTTGTCGCTTACATTTACCTTAATCATGAAAGGTGTAACTCAGGAAGTCGCCATTCATTACTCGGGACAGATAATACGCTCTGTCTCGATTCTCGTTAGTTCACTGACTGCTAACTTGTGTTATATCTCTGTAACAGATGGTGCGTGTACAGCAACCACCACAGACACCTCCATATCCTTCTCACTGTGGATAATAGGAGCAGTGGTCGTCGGCCTTCTCCTAGCCGGTGTAGGATGTTGCATCTACAAACACGGAAAGTGAGTGGTTCAGCACTAATACATGAACGGTCATTCCCATGATCATTTTGAGTTCCCGTTAAACTTGAAATGCATGATTGATGAGTTCTTCACCTGTGATGTAAATATGATTGAATGTCATGGATGCTTAGTAGGACACGGATGGCACAGTCGTCTCAGGTGCCACAATTCATTATGTGGAGTTGCGTACCTAAGGCCTTCCAGATTCTGATCGTGCGTTAGACACTCAGATTCAACCTGATTATGTGTCCGGGTTTGTAAGCACCATACCAGTTGAGATATGCATCACTTCGGGCTTTCCTCCAACATCAAGCTGAGGGCGCCGTTTACAACTGAAATACTGTTCAAGCGGCACAAAGCAAATCTCACTCACAAGTTCATTACTGCCCATGTATTGATCCTCTTGCTGTTTCAGAAAGAAGAGTAGCATCGGAGACAAACCAAGGGGCTCTGCTTTCATGATCAATTTTTCAACAAGTCAAGTGGCCAGTAAATAAGAGTCCTCACACACAGATTCCTTTGATATAATGGCTATGTTCCAGTTCTCATTCCGAAGAAGTCATGTATTTGACAAACAGTTGGATGGACAAAAATGTATCTTAATATTGCCAGATATTTAAGGCTATTGCAAACGTTTTGTATCAAAGATATTTTTCCTCGGAGTTCTTTCTAAATGACAAGCTGCGCCATACTTGCAGTGTGGAATAATACCATTATGCAATACTCTATATAGTGGAGTGGCGGTCGGGTAGCCTTGTGGTTAAAGTGTTCGCTCGTCACGCCGAAGACCCCGGTTCGATTCCCGACATGGGTACAGCCCATTTCTGGTGTCCCCCGCCGTGATATTGCAGGAATATTGCTAAAAGCGGCCTAAAATCAAACTCACTCACACTCACTCACTGTACAGTGGATTGCATAACAGTATGACAATATTACATTTACTTGTTTGTAATTTTTCAGACGACCGCTGATTATTTTATGCATTGAGCAAATGCAAGATTTAAGTACATATTCTGTTATTGCGTTATTTTTTGTTTATACATGAATTATTTGTTTATCAATTTTCGCTAATCATGCTCAATCAATCCTTCACTTTTTACTATGTCTGAATGCCTATGAAAGTAATAAACTAATCCCAGCTGGCATAGATTGTGTTCGCTTGCAGTGGGAACTCTGTATTAATTGTATGATACAGAGTATCGAATGATATTTCGTCCAAATTATACAATCTTTACGATCCTTGGGTTATTTTAACAATTTCAATAAGGGAATTTTGCTCCTCATTTGATCACGTATACTGATACTTAAGATATTAATGCAAAAATTCTACACTTTTATCTGTTAAAATCACGTAGGGCCAAGGTTCGATTCTGCACATAATGTCAAGTATAATGTCATAATGTATTTTCCCTTCCGCCATGGTTCGGATGAAATGGTCGTAACACCTGGGGTATTCAACTGTGATCATAGCTAAGACATGTAGGATCGACAAGAGAACATATACTCCTTCTGAATGATGCATTTTCAAATTGAGGATGTTACGAGTTGATCTCTAGATCGTTCATGGACCAAAACATTAAAGATGGTGTTGACACGATCTTAATTCAGTGTATTGCTATGGTTTTCATCTGCCATCAGTAAACTTGGGAGCAACTCATTCAAATCTAGGTGAATCCAAAGATTCCAATTCCAAAAAGCCAGATATAGAAATATTAAGATGTAACCTGTTATTTTTTCTCTTGGGCTGAAATATGCCTCTATAAAAAGAATTATACGTATTTTGTTAAACCTTGCGACTGTTTAACGACTCTGTGAAGAGTAATTCGGTTATATTGCGGCATATCATGGAGAAAAGACTCAAGATAAAAGGAGGCAAGTCACCGATTTTGGCATTCCACCTTAAATAAAACAAGTCCAAGGACATGGATATGGATACAAACCACAGATCATCATCAAGTGAAATGTGTGATTCGAACCCACACTTAGTCCACTTAGACACTCATGCTGTGATACCATACGTTAACAATAGATGAATAGATCTTGTTCACTGTATGCTTGCAGATAAGCCATTTCAACTTCACCTATGAAAGGTATACGTTATTTTTTGTTACACTTAGGTGAAACGTTTATCTGGAACATTATAGCAATGTTTAACTTAAAATATATTACACGTAATAAATATATAAAGATGTTACCATAACTAACTTCTCAAGAAGATTCACTGTAAATATAATTAATATGAATATATTAAATGATTGATGCAAGATGTTGGAGATTTCTTCTGTGATCTTATACGACAAATCTGACACTGATAATGTGAAACTATGGATTTCGTGAATAGCACATTTAGGATATTTCAATGATTTCATAAAAATATGGTCAGGGATTTCATATAATCCCTAGCATATTCAGGGATTTCATGAATTCACTGAATATAATGACTTTTGATTTCATTAAATCCCTGCATTACTTTGACAACATGTTCAATGACATTTTGTGCAGTTCATCCCATACAGAACCATGGTTAAAACAAATAATAGATAACAAAACCAAATGTACATCAAATCTTTTATTCTACCTGATTCAACTCTTGTCAAGATACAAAATGTATATAAAGATAAATGCAATTGTCAGTCATAAACATAATCAAGGTCGCACATGATTACAACCTATACAAATTGGATTCATTCATTCATTCATTCATTCATTCATTCATCCGTTCATTCATTCATTCATTCATTCATTCATTCATTCATTCATTCATGTGGATCAATGCCAATAAATAAGATTACCCGACTGTTGTGTTACGCCGTTGTCCGCACTTTTGCAGCTGTATCGCGACGGCCTGTATGTAATCGATTTTCTCACGCACAAAAACATTGAGTGATAGCATGAGCAACTATGCTAAATAGTAACACTCAGATATATTCCACTGTAATAGGCTTTTCCGATGAGACTGGTCTACTGAGTCTCCTCACTCCTTGCACTTCCATGTATGTGTACAATTGTATCCGATATGCGTAATGATGAATAAGGCGGTGGTGACGTGTCATTCACATTGTCTTTGTTATTGCTCATGTTGTTGCTATTAACATTGTCGTTGTATGTCGGAGGTGGGGCAAACAACTCCGTATTATTAGTGTTCGGAGCCACAGTCACAGTCTGCATCTCTGCGTGCTGATTTTGATGCCGGGTTTCAAGCTGACTTCTCCTCTCGGGGCTCTTCCTTGAACATTTTGTGGAAGTCGTGTAAAGAAGAACGAAGAATACAACCACACCTACCATTATCAAAATTCCGTACATTAGCGAGTTATCCGTCTGTGAGTCTGAAACGAGAGAAATGTATATCATATACACAATATCTACAGCCAACCATAGGACACTATGGTCTAAGTCGTCATGTTCTCTGGGACATAGTTACGATACACGTTCTTTTTAATTGAAAGAAGAGGATCCACCTCAATGAATAGCTTGCAATACACAGACTGAGTCCAATCAGTATGAAGTCCATTTTGCTTGAGTGTCAGACAAAGGAATTTTATTAATGTCCACACCTGATTATACCATATTTATAGAAATCAAATTATATGATAATATGTAGATCTTTAGTTGAACAATATTTGATTGAGATTTCAGTGATTTTCAGGATTGCTTTTATGGGGTTTGTTTACATAACTCACTCACTCACTCACTCGTTAAATACAGTGTGAATATGAAAATGCTAATTGTCAACACAAACACAACGCAACAACGCAACAACGCAACAACTCACCTATATAGTAGTACTGCAGCCGGAAACCCTTACTAGTTCCTGATCCATCAGATATAAACCTGATTGTGATGGTGGAGCCGCTACTTGTGTATGACGGTGTTTCAAAGTAACAAAAAGTGTTGGTCGTGCTTCCTGATATAACAAAGGAATTACATGGTGAGCACAATGTTGGATGATCAGTGCACACTACATAGACAATAGGTGTACGTACAGGATATATTGTTAGTCTGTTTATTTGCTGTTTTTCGCTGCAGTCAATATAGCTATATTCAACTATACCAATAATCGAATCTAGGCAGGCAAACTAATGGTTGACATCATGAGCGACGTAGAGGTCCGATGACACGCAACCAACTGAGCCTGTCCTACCGATCCAATATTCGCCTCTTACAAAAAGCACTGGAGTGCTAAGAACCCGGATTCCCACGAGGTCATAACATGCCGGAAAAGGTTAATATAATTAATGAGTACTGATTTATATCTAACAGCATTTATACATCTGACAAACAGATGTATATTGACTGGATTGGAGACTAGTTATATATTTTTTGATGCAATATATACAACGCTTTATAGGGATATTTTAAAGTTGCACTGTACAATCTATTTATAGCTGAAATTTGAAAATCATTATCATGTAACCATGCCTAAAAGTAGAATAATACCATTGAGAACAAAACTTATGTAAACCTAAAGAAAACTGAATTATGATTTGTCGTACGACGTTATACGCGTGTATAACAACTGCCCTAGTACCCTCACTCACCCGGAGATAGTCACCTCGATTACTTCAACGACTGAACTTACAGCAGCCTACCATCAAGCACCTGGACTGAACGTATAGCAACCTACCATCAAGCATCTGGACTGAACGTATAGCAACCTACCATCAATCATCTGAACTGAACGTATAGCAACCTACCATCAATCATGTGGACTGAATGTATAGCAACCCACCATCAAGTACCTGGACTGAAGGTATAGCAACCTACCATCAATCATCTGAACTGAACGTATAGCAATCTACCATCAATCATGTGGACTGAATGTATAGCAACCCACCATTAAGTACCTGGACTGAAGGTATAGCAACCCACCATCAAGCACTTGGACTGAAGGTATATCAACCTGCCATCAAGCACCTGGACTGAAGGTATAGCAACCCACCATCAAGCACCTGGACTGAATGTATAGCAACCTACCATCAAGCACCTGGACTGAACGTATAGCAACATACCATCAAGCATCTGGACTGAACCTATAACAACCTACCATCAAGCACCTGGACTGAATGTATAGCAACCCACCATCAAGCATCTGGACTGAATGTATAGCAACCTACCATCAAGCACTAGGACTGAAGGTATATCAACCTACCATCAAGCACCTGGACTGAAGGTATAGCAACCTTCCATCAAGCACCTGGACTGAACGTATATCAACCTACCATCAAGCATCTGGACTGAATGCATAGCAACCTACCATCAAGCATCTGGGCTGAATGCATAGCAACCCAAAATCAAGCACTTGGACTGAATGAATAGCAACCTACCACCAAACACCTGGACTGAACGTATAACAACCTACCATCAAGCACTTAGACTGAAGGTATAGCAACCTACCATCAAGCATCTGGACTGAATGCATAGCAACCTACCATCAAGCATCTGGGCTGAATGCATAGCAATCCACAATAAAGCACTTGGACTGAATGTATAGCAACCTACCACCAAACGCCTGGACTGAACGTATAACAACCTACCATCAACCATCTGGAGTGAACACTGAACGTATAGCAACCTACAATCAAGCACTTAGACTGAACGTATAGCAACATACCATCAAGCACCTGGACTGAAGGTATAGCAACATACCATCAAGCACCTGGACTGAACAGAAAGCAACCTCCTATTAAACGCCTGGACAGAACATACAACTACCTACCATCAAGCACCTGGACTGAACAGAAAGCAACCTAACATCAAGCACCTGGACTGAATGTGTAGCAACCGTCGATCAAACATCTGTCCTGAATATACAACTACCTACCATCAAGCACCTTGACTGAACGGAAAGCAACCTCCTATGAAACGCCTGGACTGAACGTATTGCAACATACCATCAAACATCTGGACTGAACGTATAGCAACCTACCATCAAGCACCTGGACGTAGTCTCCTTCACAGGTCACTTGCCGGCCGATGTCACTGCTGAGGATCTTCACTTTCAGTTTGCTGTTCGGGGGCCCGACAATTTCCCATTTACATTTTAAGTTGCTGCAAAGGAAGAATGAAAGGTTATTCTCAAATGTTGTCTGGCGTACTAGGCAGTAGAACAGCTAACGTTTTATTATCAAACGCTCAGTCGTCTTTGTCAAGCTTTCAAGAATAATTATCCTATGCTATGCCATCATTTTCTGATATATCACCTCCTCCTAAAGTTAACAATTTTTAATTTGGCGGCTCCCCCTCAAAGGGTATCGATCCACATGTGTGTTGTATACATGTAGGTGCTGTGTATAGCTATACTTACTTCTGGTACCCCAGTGGGTAGCCCGGCGATGTCAGAAATTTTGCCTCCTTGGTCGCTGTCAAAGTTTGATCGATGTCCCCTTTGACCGCTGTAACAGAGTAGATAATGACACACCGAGGGTATATATATATATATGCAAAGGGTATGCAAAGGAAACGATAACTCTGATCATATGAATTAACTTAAAAATAACAATTCATCGTAATATTACGATATGGACCTATATGGCCGTTTACACTGAGCAACCGTCTCAAGTCGCCCTACACTGAAATAGCGCCACGGAGCGCGACAGCATTAAAAAATCCCGTCAGTGTTCCCATGACAATCCAGATTAACGCTCTGCGTCAGCAGACATTTAATATTTTGGATCGTTCAAAGGGTGCTTTTTACTGCTTTCTTCCCTGCCGCACCAAGGTTATTTTCATGGGCCCAGGATCCTCGTTTTTCAGTCATATTTAGATTGCGCTGTCCGATAAAGATATATCATTATCAATACTTTCTTCATACGCATTTCCCTGTCCATCGTGTTAACTAATCAAGGATCTCAGTGGTTCCACTGTAATGTACAACTGGCATTCGTTTAACAAAAATAAAATAAATGTCCAATTATTTTTCTAACACATTCAATTCTATTTATTTTTTTCGACTTTCTAAACTGCTGGTCTAGTGCGCTTCCTGAATGTGTCTTTCAAACTCCGTTCGGCTGTGTTGCGCTGCTGCAATGAGTGAGTGAGTTGAAATTGAACGTCGCGTCGGCCGTAACTGTATAAATAACAAACCACTTGACAAGACGGGTCAGGGTAGGTTAATGCCGTTGTCAATAACTGCACGTACGTTTTGGATTCAAACATTAATCAAATTGTCTTTCCCTCAAACTGCAGTACATATGGAAATTAAATAACCAGACATTTTACTTTTGTGAAGAACACACGAATTGCTTGGTCAATTTTGAATTTTGATTTTTTGTAAAATGTGAAATATTTAGAAAGCCGAGGAAATCCATCTTTGGCAAAAAAAGGTCACACACGAGTCACTTATAATCATAAATGATCAAAGAACATTGAGGAATATTTATTTTTGTACAAAATCACAATATGATAAATAACAACCTGATTACATTGACTTCTACCTATTATACTATACAAATGACAACGAAACGAAAAACCCACACAACAACCATAAAGAAGAATGTTATTACAAAATCAGAAATAACTAACACACCTACACAACTACACACCTGTAGTTGTATTTTGAAACGCGCGTTGAGTACGCACAGCATTAAGGTGCGGTAATGCAGTATGACACGTATATATATATATATATATATATATATGTTACAGGAAAAATGTATGATAAGGGAATATGTGTATTCCCTGAAATTTTCAGGCCTTAAATCCTTCTTTCAATATTCACCTCTCTTAATATATTACCATTTAACTTTTCTTTTCTTTTTATATTTTAATACACTTGTTGTACATTATAGCCGTAGTTGTTTAGGATTAGATTTATGCCCTTCTCACTTACAGTCTTTTGGGTATGGTGTTTAATTACATTAAAAGATGTGTAATACCTGAAAATTGAGGGATTACATAACATTGCTTTGTTTGTTTATTTCATGTTGTTTAACGCGGCACTCAGCACTATTCCAGCTCAATGACGGCGGTCTGTAAATAATCGACTCTGGACCAGACAGTCCAGTGACTGACATCATGAGCATCGATCCATGCAACTGGGATACGATGACGTGCATCAACCAAGTTAGCGAGCCTGACCACTCGATCCCGTTAGTCGCCTCTTACGAGAAGCATAGTCGCCTTTTACGGCAAGCATGGGTTGCTGACCTATATTCTACCCCGGATCTTCACGGGTCTACGAGCTGAATATTTTTGTACGCCCCTCAACATTCGATCTAGTTGTGTACAGTTTATTCAGATCGAAAAGCCACCACACCACGCTGGGTGAACAGAGGCCCATTTGAACTAAGTCACATGCCCCGGGTGACACCACAAGGTTCGACAATTGTGTTTCTGGTGTATGTAAATATTCGTGTGACACATGTAACTCAGTATTAGCCTGTAAATGATGAAAACCATCGATCATACGAAATAATATATATAACTTACCATTGATGAAGGCTATCACAATTACCACGAATGTAAAGTCCAAACTTGATGCTAGGAATACCATACCCTTGTACACTATGTAGTTGAACAACTGAAGCCTTACACCGATCACTTGTGAATGAGGCAAACGCTAGAAAACATCATGGTGCAAGTGTGTGTGTGAATGCTATGTCGCAATGTGTGTGATATTGACATTCAATGACGTCACACTTGCGGCAGTACGAACATCCGAGTTGTAAACACGGGAAACACTCGCTATGTAGATAACAGGATGTTATCACTATAACTCAGTTTGAAGTTGTTATTGGGGAATGTGTGTTACTTGCGTCTACAGTGTACTCTCGGTCTGGCGGAGAACCACGTTATTCGGTCTATACACGAGTGCGGACAAAGTTTTCATGCTATAATGTTTCGTGGGATACTCTTGCGTAGAGACACACAAAATCTTGAATGAGCCAGAGCTACATAAGGTCTATTAAACCAAAATGTAACGGCGGTGAGGAGGGTATCCATTTTGCTGATAAATAGAGAATCTCACCCGAGTGTCTTTTGATATCAAATATATCAACGAGTGTTGATATATTTGATATCAAAAGACACGAGGGTGAGATTTTATTTATCATCCAACATCATTCTTTCAACTTTTTCAATTTGTAGACAGTAATTAGCAGTGTCTTCAGTGTAAAAAGTACTGCAAACAGCTTCAGTAGCAGAGCCATTTGTGATGTCATTTGATTGTGACGTCATGGTAACCAGTGACGTCACAATGGTCTGCAAAGCATTGTGATGTAATTTCATTGCAGCGAGTGTAGATATCGCTTGATCTCATCCAAGCGATATCTCCTGTGGGAGCCAGTTTTGGATGATAAATATATTTCACAACAAGATATGATAGAATTATTATATCTTTGAAGTTTATCTTACAAGTTTGCAGTCGTGCCGAAGCGGAAGTGAAAACAAACTGACATTTACACAAGATCATACTAATCACTGAGGGTGAAATCGAGAAAATATAACTGTTTTTAATGTAACGCGCTTTGCAGAGTAAATATAAAGTTAATATCGCACAGGAAAAACGGCAAAGCGCATCTCAAAAGGATTATGAGATATCACAGCTTAAACAACGAGAAACACGATGGAATTCATTTGTATATGCATTTTATAAGAATGCATGTGTATGTTTTTGTAAGTAGTGTTTACATAGCTACTGATAGAAATAAATATCAAAACGAATAAATGACGTGGTATTGTTAGTTATAAGAGGGGAATAATCAAGACTTCAATCTGTGTTTTAACACTAACAAGGACTACATGTCATCAGAGGCCGTAAAAGCAATTTTAGGGCTCTGATGTCATGGATATTTCCTGACCCACTTACGCAACGTCAGCACGGTCATATGGGGTTTATCGAGGAGTGGTGATATGCACCTGGTGGTCCGGTGACGTAACAGTCATGTGATCGTACTAGTATATTTATAGCCTGGAAGTATATTTATAGCCGATGTCCCCTGCCAATCCCTCGTCACGATATGGCTGATATACTGCCGATGTGACGTTAAATATTAACTCACTCACCCTGCAAATCCATACTGTCCACAGATGTGTGGAGATTCATCAGGGGAACTGTTACAATGACTACAATACTGGATTGGAGTGAGAGAATTAATTATAGCTTAGCTGTGTACACTGTTTATTTCTCTTAGTTGTGAGTTTGTGAGTATGTTTTTACGCCGGTGTTAGCAATTTTCCATAAACCAGCCGGTCTGTGCGGTCATCGTGACGTCACAATGATCAGCATGTCGTTTACTTGTAACGTCGCAATTGATCCTATTCGCACTTTGAGTAAACACATACATCTAGATATATCAAAATATCACACAAAAGAACTTCAACTGAATGTTTTGTGACCGATGAATGATAAATTCGTTACAGGTGTCACGTGTGTGAGGAATATTACGAGCTGAACATTCTTGTACGCCCCTCGGTCTCCGCCCATTAGTAAGACAGACTGACAGACAGCTGCAGATTGTTTATTTGAGTCTCACCTCACAAAGATTATTACATAAATACATATAAAAGGACATAAAAGTGAGCCACCCGTTAAGGGTTACGAGAGACTTAAAAAATATCACAGTATGTACAGCATAAATATATTGGTGTAAAAGGGGTATGAAAATATACTACCCGTAACTAGCCATATAAATTATTTTTTCTTCGTTGGAGAATTAAAAAGCAGGTTTTGGCTGTAAAATATACATAATATTTAAAAAGTACAATAAGTTTATCAGTATTGCCTAACTCTAGAAAGTTGGGATAGCTAAAACTCACCTTTTCGTATAAACTTTCACGCAAATCATCGTACACAGGGCAATCAAGTAATACATGACATTCATCTTCAATACTTTCCTTACACTGAAAACACACTCTTTCATTCACATTCATATTCGTATATCTGCCTGTTTCCAACTTCAGAGCAGCAGTACCTGATCTAAATTTGGAGAAGGCAGAGCGGTAAGAACGAGGCATATACATACTTACATAACTTTCACATCCATACCCATCTTTAAACATTCTATACGTACGTTTTTTGTTACCACCCGTTCTTCCGCCAGGCTTGCATAACCGTTCATTCCAATCAGACACATACTTTCCCATGCATATATCTTGCACACGTACAACTACACTTTTCACGCTAACATTCTCAGAAATATTCAGACCCCATTCGTTCAGCTTTGCCCTCACACGAAAATTCCAGTTTTTCACACGTCCACCAGCATAACGTTCAGACCACATAAAAACATACTTATTTAATCTAAGGGACATTTTAGTAAAACGACAATACTGTCTAACAATACACATCCACTGTCTAACTATCGGAGGAATCCATCCCATATCTCCATTAACAGCAACATTTGGAGCGTATTTACCCAACCCTAAGAAAAATCTCAAAGCACGATGGTGAACGGCATTTACAGAAGAAATGTCACGATGACCCCAGATAGATGCCCCATAACTCAAGACTGGCCAAACCATCGTATCATACAATTTGGAATAAGTAGTGGATTGCATACCTCCAATTGCCTTATATTTACATATAAGAAGACCTAATGCTCTGTTAGCCGATTTAGCTGCTGCTTTTGCCATAGCATTGTAGTCAAGATGTTCCGTGAGCAGTAGGCCTAGATAATTATAACAATCAACAATGTCTAAAACAGAGTTACCAATATTTAAAAAAGCTGTTGTTCTTGGAACACTTACATTTCTAAAGTGTACAATCTTGGACTTGTCATTATTAATAAGGATACTATTATCAACACACCATGTATTCATAACATGTAATAGACGATTCAAATCATCTGCCGGTTCTGCAAGTAAAATAAGATTATCAGCATATGCTAAGGCTGCAATAGTAATATCATCAACACAAATACCAATACCAGTTTCATTTAGCTTGTCAAGCAAATCATTAATAAAAGAGTTAAACAGAATTGGCGAAAGTAAACATCCTTGTTTTAAACCACGATTAACATTAAACCAGGGTGTAAGCATACCATTTATACGTACACTGCATTTCACATTATCATATAAAGATTGAAGTGCTAGAAACATTTTCCCTTTCATGCCAATGTTACATAATTTCTCCCACAGCACACCTCTGTTAATGTTATCATACGCTTTATGAAAGTCAATAAAAGCAGAAAAAGTGTCTTTTTTAATACATTTTCTAGTTTCAATAAAAGAACAAACAGAGTGAATATGATCCGTAGTTGATCTACGCTTCCGGGACCAATTTTGTGCATCATTTAGAGCTCCTGTGCTTTCAGCCCAAGATTGCAGACGGTTATTTAAAATATAACAATATAATTTGTACGTAGAATTGGTGAGGGTCAAACCTCTATATGATAAAGGATCCGCAGGATCTGAAGTAGAACACTTTGGTATAGGGTTAATTATGCCCTTTAACCACAATGCAGGGATTTTCCCTGTGCTAAAACATATATTAAAGATATTGTGCATCGCCGGAATAACATTTTGTGATTTAAGATATTCCATCGGAATACCGTCAACACCAGGAGCCTTGCCACAGTGGCTTCTATCAACCGCTCTGGTTACTTCAAAGAGAGTAATTTTAGCGTCGAACAATATATGTGTTTCACCAGTCTCACTGTCACACTTAACATTCTGCATCCTGACGTCACCATTTAGCAGTTTACAATAATCATTCTTCCACTTATCTAGTACATCACTCCATTTCTCAGACACATTTCCATCCTCTAAAACCACTCTCATGGGGATCTGTCTTCGTCTCTCCCCACCTACCCCAATTTTACCAATCTTCTTCCAGAACTCTCTATCATTATCCTCACACATTTCATCCAACCGTTTTCTTTACCCTGTCGCATACATTCGTTTAGCAATTTGTACTGTTTTGTCAAAATGTTTTCGCTTTTTAACAAACATATGTTTCAGAAACATTCTCTCATTACCAGCCCAGTTGTGAGACACCTTAAAACAACAATGTCATACCTGGTTGCACATGTTAATCAGGTAATTAACCCCTATCATGAAAATGGACTTGTCTTATTATACACAAAAGAAATGACTCAAGATGCTTGATACCCTCTATAACTTTATTTCATTCAACATTTTAATTCATCCATCCCTTAAATCCATTGTTTTAAAATATTCGCCTCTTAGAGTTCAGTTAAAGTTAATATCACAGTTCACATCACAGTTCACATCGAGGTTGTCACACTGACACAACCTTAATCCATCTTCAGAAGTTTGCCACCAGCATCCAAGAACTGGAGTGGTGTCTTGACACCCTGGGATAGCTGATCCTTCAGTCTGGAAAGTCGATTGTCAATCTCCTTGTACACACGCTTTCTTGCTGGTGGAGCTGCACCTAGGTCTAACTGAGATAGCTTGGTCTTTTCAGATTTCTCAATCTTCTTGATGATCTCGATAAACCTGAAGAGATTAGGATGACGATGATTCAGTGATGCATTGAGGCGACTGTGGAAACCCTCCAGGTTGTTGTTGGTCCTTGGGCCGAATGTCTGGTGATGGTTCCACAGCGAAAGAGGGAATCTGGCTTCATAATCCACCCAGTTTGTGACTATGTAGTCGCACCGCCCATTCAGATCGGAAAGCCGCAACACCAGGCTAGTGATACA